CGAAATGAAAAACCTACCGAATCTCCGAATCTCTCTGATTCTTCATTCGTACTTCAATTTACGTAATAATCCATAGTTTCGAAGACAAGTCCAATTTTGCTGTTGACGATGAAGATTGACGAAATTTTCTCCACGCAAGGATGTCAGGCATGCGATCCGCTGAATACCAAACAGTCCCGCCAAAATTTGTCATAATTATACATAATTATGCTTATGTTTAGACAATCACCAATCAAAATCACTACCCGGTTTTCGGGTAGTGGCGCCACTGGAACGGCAATTCGATTCAGACGTTGCTGAGGGAGTAAAAACGACTCGAAGTAGTCGTCTGCAATTCAGGCTAAGATATTGTATGAAATTGTTTGGTTTGCTTGGGTCGTAATCTTTCACAAATGGACTGTTAGCTTTTGCTTACTGCTTGCTAACCATCGTTATTCCGTCCCGAGTGAGCTCCTTTTCGATGACCAAATGTATGTCCACATCAGTCAACCGTTCCAGCTGCACTCCTGTCTTGTTCATTAGCGTATACCAAGACAGGCCCAGCGATATATAGAAATACGCTGGATCCAGTCCGCACTGTTTTAAGCATATGCTTCTGAAATTCTAAAAAACATCCGCCAACAAACAAACATCCGTTTTGAGAAACAGTTTATGATTGTCTCCCAAATTTTTGCACTCAAACGAACATTTCCACACTTTTTTCGCGTGCTTTGATTGTTTTCCGTTATGTGCTCGTCATTCAGGGAGCTGTAGAACAGATCTTTGTGTGACAGTTTTCTTTCTTCAAAGCACTCTTATCCATCCATGTGTTTGTAAGGATAAATTCCTTTTTGACGAAGCCTTCTTTGCTTCCTGTTTTGTGCGAGTCTTGAGGTGTACTTCAAGTTTTACCGAGGAGTTTATTTTTACCAGTGAATCCAGCGACGCTTGCAAAAAGTTCGGATTGTTTGGAATACACTTTATCTTCTCGCCTTCTATTTTCGACATTTCCTGATCAAATGATGGGCATCTCATCCTTAAAGATTGTGGAAAACGACCGGCATAAAATCTTGTTTAGGCTTTATCCGTAGATTCATGTTGCAAACGTTGTGGGCCGCTCCACGGTCCCGGGGGTCCACGGTATTTTCCTATCAAATGGCATTGTTCTTTACAGCGTCTTTGTAGTTTCTTGCAAGCATAGGCTTTAAACAATACAATCTTCTTGGCCGTTTTTATCCATTTGTCTATTTCATCTAACGTATGAGACATTTTTTGGCCCAATGAATTTGTTCTTCAAATGGCTCATTTTATGTGCCTGCCCTCAATATTTGCCCTCATTTTGGTCACTGAGTCCAAAAAGGATTCTGTTATCAATGCTTTTGAGCTATTTTGAAAAAATAGCTCATATGTCAGTGGTGTGAGCGTATGTATCTTTGTGGCTTTGTATCTTTGTATGTTCGGATGTTTGTTGCAAGAGCCAATAAGGTTGAGGGTACTATGAGTTGATGCCTAGGAACCAATGAGATCTTGGCATCTACTTAAACATGACATTGTTAAAGGTCGAACAAGGGCACTGAGACCGCCATCTCGATTCTTCACATTTTTTTCGTCTTTTATTACGGCTCCCTGCTACTACGGCTACATTATATTAAATATCTTCATGATTCAAACGCTGTGTACAGTGATGCAGCTGTTTAAGGGTTCATATTTTAGTGTGGATGCTATTTCACGACATTTCTGACTGAATTCGGCTATCGCGAACGGTACTGACACACCTATTTATGAGTTGTGTTTCACCTGCTTCAAGGTAGAGTATAAAAGATCATATATTTTCAAAGCTCTTCCAGTGAAACAATAATTGAGGTGATTTCTTAAAATCGTTGGGAAAATTTTGTAGCAAACAATTTGCGTTTTTTTTAACGTACAAATTGTAAAAGGGCCAAAGACCAACATCTTCATGTGCAAATTGTGTTCATGAGTTATTTTTATAATTCTGTTTACTGGATTATCGTGTGATAACTCGAATTCCCTCACGTACGAACCACAAAAGGGGGCAAAGTCCAACACTTTCATGTGCCAGTTGTGTGACTGTACATCTCATGCAGATTGGCTTTTCACAATAATAATCATAGGCGTACGGGCCGGGGGGCGAGGGGGACTGCAGCCCCCCCTAATTCTGGGCAACTCACATTTTTTGGGCGGCAAGAGAAAATTTGGGCAAAGCCAGTTTTTAAAGACGTTTCCATGTTTTTTTATTAGTCTAAAGAGACAAATATTTTCTATTTTAATCTGAAAAAATCCTGAAGTCAGCGTAATAATCCAGTTACATTCTCTCGAGACACTCACAGTAGTTGCCAAGCACGTGATGAGTTTCTGGTTATAGGGAAGGGTATCATTTGTTGATTTACATATTTATATTTTTCTATTGTTGAGCACTGTACTGCACTGCACTGACTGGAAAGGGCTCTTTCCAGTTGTGAATTGATTATAATAAACTTCCGCATATTTTTCTAGAATCATCTCCGCTCGTAGAACAGTGTATGGCAGATAGCATCAGCAACAGTGGGTCTGAAAATGAGGAAGTGGCTGACTAGTACTCAGCTCGAATTACGAGAAGAATATTAAATTTGTTTAAAAATCTATCAGCAATAATTTATTAAAGTAGACCGAAATGTTTACAAAACCGCTAACAAGAGCGCCTCGATACATACTAATGAAATCCTTGTCTCCGGTCGGAGCTATCTCCATGACCATATCTTTTATACACGTTTTCAAAAGGATTGAAGCTACTATGAGGTGAAATTGCATGTCAAAAGAGCTTCGTTTTCTACAAATAACGGCCAAACATCAAGATTTTTTTTTACCATATTTATAACGATAAAAACTTCATCCCAAAATATCCCAATAACGCTCCTATATATTCCGTTTTAACTTCACGAACATCGAGGGGACTATTGGAGAAAAAAGCTCCCGTGAACAATTCTGTAGGAACAGTTCCCAGTGCCGAGAAATATTGCAGCAAGTAAAATAGACAGTGGCGTCATTTCGTTGCTATGACAATTCCGATGTCATTAAAAGCCTACTCATGATAAATTTTCATCTTTATCTAATAAAACTATGGTAGCAATTTTTCCAAATGTTTGTCTATGGCGACGTAGTTATTCTCAAAATTAGGAGGTATTGACCCTGAAAAACTGAAAACTGTCATAGTATCGAGCCACCTTCATATGCCAGTGCGGCCTACGTTATTGCATCGTATGGCCCTCGTTTCTTTTCTACTGTTTCATAAAAATTTGGGCAACTTGCAAGAATTTTTTGGGCAAATGTTTTACCGCCCCCCCCTGGCAAAAAAATTGCCCGTTCGCCCATGATAATAATAGTAACTTGAACGTATGAAAACCTGTTTCGTTTTGTAACCAATGCCTTAAAAAAGGCTCTTGTCTTTTAAAAAGCAATAGCTTTTAAAACATGAAGAAATAAGTTGTCGGAGTTAAAGACTGTTTCACTGAGTAGAATCGCACGTAAAAACCTCGTGAATTGTGATGATGCAACCATCTACCACATTGATAAAAATCCTGGTTTCTTAACTACTCAAATTCGATGAGTCACATTTTGGCTTAAGAAACTCCGAGGAAACCTTAGAGTTTTCCTTCTAATCAACGTTTGGTGAGTAGATATTTATTTTACTTTAACAATTTGTTTAACTTGCACCAAATGTAACAGGGAAAGACACAGGAAAGTGAATATATAGCATGAGGATCGCGTTTTCATTTATGTACGGCAATACCCAATTTCGCACAAAAACCCAGTCTACATTTAGGACGAAAAAGGTAGCCTCCCACGCAGACGTTCTTACGGGTTCGTCACGCAATCATTCCTCTCCCACGATCGTGGGGTAGGAACGCGTGACGAACCCCTAAGAACGTTTGCGTGGGAGGCTACGAAAAAGGTAGATTCATCACTCTTGGTAGGGTTACACTGAGGCATTAAAGTTACACTGAACCATTCAAAATAGCTCATGCACGTTTAACGTGCCTATGTTTCAAAAATATGGCAGTGGGTGGCGTTTTTAACATCAATCCAATCTTGATCCTGCATTGAAATGGGAACGATTGACCGTAAATCATTTCTTATTTTCTTCTTCCTGTTGCAAAATAAATTACGTGTGGCGCCTTAAGCTGACGGCGTTGTAGTTTTGGAAATAAAGCAAATTTTTACCTTCTTTTGGCATTTCTGTTCTCCTTGGCTTTCTGTTGATGCCTCTGCAAACCTCTTCATGCATCTCCAAATTTTCTACAGTTGTGAAGCGCGACAAGCAGTTCAAACAGTAATGTTTTCTTCCACTATGTTTTGTTTAGTCATACAATAAAGCGCTTAATCTTTTTGCAAACGAATAATGCCAAACCTCTTCCGTTCCGGTGAACACAACATTTATACGTTCCAAGCCTACTGGTTTTTGGCTTCACTGTACACAATCGCTCTGTCGTTTTCCCACCCCAAACCATTCATAGCTAAGTTTTCGTTTTGCCCCTCGAGCTTGTCTTAATCTTTTATCAGCGATGACAATCTAATCCCCGCATAGTTAATTCCATCGTTTATTGGGTACGTGATCGTTCTTAATGGATGTTTTCCTTTCGGCGCAGGAAACAATGCCGTTTGAAGTTAACACTTCAGGCGCTCGTTGTCTCTTCTGTTTTGCACATTGATTATTGCTTATTTGTCTTGAAGCTTTTTGGGAAGTGGAATGTATGTTTCAGCAACAAGTGGTTCATATCTTAGTGTCACGTTTACATAAGCAGAGTGCTGACCTCTATTCTTTCCGAAAAATTGGACACAAAATCACGATTTCTAATTTGGTACAACTGTTGCTTAAAGCTTCGCTTTAAAACGCGATCTACCAAATAAAACCAACCTTCTTAAACTCCCATCATTTCACAATGTCTCTGTAAAGTTATATCTAAATAGCTTCTAAAACAGCAGAGACATAAGCGTTTTAAAAGATGTAGCACAAACAAAATTTTGCCTTGTGAATTTATTCATAGATAGAAACAGTTTAAATACTCATTGGTTTCCTTGTTCAGGATTGGGAATTATTTTCTCAACCCATTCTTTCAAGTAGAACAATTCCACTGGTAAGATTTCATGTCCTTGACGAGAAAAGTTCACTAGGAAATCAGTCTTAATTTCCAAGTCTGTAAAATTCTCAGCTGTGTGTGAGGCCCATCTCAGTCTGTTGGTATCAACATCCCCATGCCACATCCATAGTGGAGGAAATTGCTTGTCTTTATTCAGCTCAAAGTCTCTTCTAATTTTTTCAAAGACAGCTGATGTTGGTGACAAGAAGGATGAAAGAGCAAATACACCTGCAACGTTTGTCAAAAACCTGAAAAGAAAAACAAATCACAAAGCTGTCTTACATACATACATGCAACACCTTTATTTAACCCTGCAATTTACAGCCGAGCTGTAAATCAAACTCTAACAGTCCAGAGCTTTTCCACTTATGGCATACCCAATCACGGTACAAAGGGAGCTTTAGACCGAGGACGCGACGGATCTGCGACGCCGCTGGAGGTAATTGTTCACAGAAAAGGCTTCCTGCGCATGCTTGATCGTACAAATTTGACGCGTCGTGAAGCGTACAGGGGCCGGTTGCTCGAAGCCTGGTTAGCGCTAACCGTTGGTTAAGAGGTATCAAAATGTATAGGTTTCCATGGTATTTAACGCTGGTTAGCACTAACCATGCTTCGAGCAACCCGGGCCAGAACGCGAGTCAAAGGGATTTGGCGTCGCGTAGAAAACTTGAGTATGAATTGTCCTTGTTTTAAACAAAATTCTTTGATAGAAATTGTGCCTGTTTCTTCATTATTACCCATGCGCAACTAAGCGCATGAGGTGTAAAATGCCCTCCGTTTCTTTTTTTGTGTGTCACATTAGAGCGTGTAAATTTATGCTTGCATACATTTACACACATGACTGTAACGTTACGTGGGGTGGGGGGTAGGGGATTGTTCCAAAAATTTATAGTAGCTGAAAAATGTTTTGTTGTGTCTGAAAAATTCATGGAAATATTTTAAAAGAAGTATTAGAGTCTTAAAATGTATATATGCATGGAATATCAGTCTATTTTGTATACAAACAAAAACAGTGCGTGTTTGAAGAAATCAAACACCCGTCCCTTGTTTCAAGCCCCTTAAGATGTGCATGGTCGCCCCCTAATCATCGCTTCTTGACTGCGGGGATCGAATGTTGATCCGTCGAAACGTCGCAGTTGCTATCAGAAGAAACCTCTTTCGATTGTGGAGCCAAAGGTCAGTTGTTGACATTAAAAGGCATAAGTATATTATATCCCATTTGTTTCACAAACAAACACATTGCACGAGAGCGGGGATCGACACAAAGGGCAGACAAACAACCACATTGCACGACCGAATGGACACAAAGATCAGGCAAACTGATCTCGATCAACAAGCCCGTCATCTCCTCAGAACCTCATCTTTGAGAACCTGCAATCAACTTTGAAAAGTGACACGACTTTTAGCAATCTGAGCTGTTCCTAGAACTACTGTTATTGTCACTAAGGCGTGCAAGGGAGTGAAAATGGGGAATAGTTTAAAATAATACAGGCTAGTCGTTGGCATGCATTGGTCTGCATTCTGTTTAATTCATTGGTGGCAAAGGAATTTCGAGGATGCGCATGAGTATAGGCTACTTAGAGCCTCTTGTTTTCGGTATTTTACCGTTGTCTTTGCCAAACGTACCCCTGAACTGGATGAGAACAAACAGAATATGATTTCTTTTTGTTTTCCATGTATAGAATTATAATCTAAGCTGAAATTTAACTCCGTCTTGAAGTAGTGGTTATCTTTTATTGGTCCCATGATGTTTTGAATTAACGAAAACGACCTTATCCTGTATAGAGACCTTGGTAATGACGTTGCTACACGACAACGAAGTACGGAAATATTGCCGACACTCGTTCGGTTTGTGTCCACCTGGGAATTCTTGTCAACAGGCACAAGAAATCGAGAAACGAGGAAAAAGCTTCGGGGATAACAAGATATGAGCCCTCCGAATCCGAACGCTTTAGATACAATCGTAGCTTTAGAAGAATCAAGTCCAGATGGAAGTTTTTTCCAAGCGAAAATCTGCTTTACATTCGGCCGGATTTTTCTTTACAAGAGAAAATCTATTTTAAAAGGAGTGAGGAAAATGGTTGATTCATCATTATGCTGCATATTTTCTTCGTACATATGTTCTTCCGAGCACATTAACGGCATATTTAATTTTGGACTTTATTACACGACCTTATCTTTTATTCTTGTCAAATAAAAAAATATATATATTGAACTGACGGGTCGAACGGACCTCGCGTCGCCAAACTAAAGCTTATTTTTCCCGCGCTTAGAACGCCGTTCTCATTCAAGGCTTTTGCTCGGTAACCGCGTTCTAAAAGCCGTCGCGTCCTCCATCTAAAGCTCCCTATCAAGAGTCAAGGGTAGTCAAGCGCAGCATACGCAATGAAAAAAAATCAGATATGAAAAGAAGCTATGAACCCCTTTATAACGCGTTGAGATGAACCATTTACAGCAAAAGAGAAATGATCGTGCGCATGGACTAAATAGCGATAGCGCGAGCCGATCTCCGACGCGGAGCTTCTATCTGTACTATCCACGCTGGAGTTATTTCACCCTGGCCTCTGCAGTAGCCAACAGTCTAAAGACATTTTTTACTGGTGGGGATAAACTGTTTACAGAAAGAGGAGAATAACTGTTCCGAGGATCTAGGTCGCGGCGAAGCCGATTTACTGTGGGCCCCAGCGTGACAAAACTTAGTAGGGATTTATCACATTCGCGGACAAAAATATCATGTAGTTATTCCGATCCAGGCACTTCGGAGAAATCTAAAGAAACTAACATCTTTATCTAAAGTAGCCTGTTCCAGGCGTTCAGATAGTGGGGAGCGGTGCGAAGTAAAAAGGAGCGCGAAAAAATAAAAGCGAGGAAGGAGGAGAGGTGAGAGAGGGAACGCCTGTTAGATTTGTTTTAAATAGACTCTTCCGCCCAGTCAGACCGCATCAGCTGTAGGTGGTCTTCACTTGTCAATCAAGACTGGTGTTACAGCCCGATGCATTTATTATTTTTCTTGCGAATAAATCGAAGTTTGTCAGAACAAAACTTAATATTATGTATACATAATCTTACTAAAAACCCAATGTAAGACTTTCAGAGAAGTATTCATGTATAATGAATTTATTTACGGCTTTAAAACATGATTTCAGCGTGTACGTGAGAAAAAGTTATGAATCAAGTGACAAACAAATATCGCTCAGTTCGATAGGAAGCCGTTTCAATACAGATCGTTAACTCAAGCAATGAAAATGCACAACAATTGAAGGGAAAATTTACTATTCGGTGATTGAGTGGACCTCGTCAATAGCGATAGCTGCAACTTGCTTTCCAAGCTTTCCTTTTTGAAGTCCTTTTGTCCATTCATTAGACAACCACGATTTGGCACTTCAGTAAACAATTTCACAGCTTCCATTTTTAACGGCTTCATCCACATCTTCTCCCATCATTGCCGCCGCTACTCCGATTTTGTTCAAATATTCCACTTGGTCTTCCATGATGGCGATCAACGGAGTTACCACAACAATCGTAAATGGCATTCTATCCTGCCTTCATTTCAACGCACGCTTTATTCGAGGAAAAAGCTGGAAAATAAGAATTTTTCCAAAGCCAGTCGGTGAGAAATTGCTAAGACATTTATCCTACCGACTACGTGTTTTAAACAGTTTCTTTGCTCTTCGCTTTTAGCCTCCACGTTTGGAAAGTCACTCAGCGCTGTGTTTGTTGCGAGTTTGAATTCTGCGTGACGGCACGTAGAGTCTGTCATAACGGCCATATCGCATTTCTCGCTGTGATCGAAGACGCTCCACTGTTGACAAAAACTGTCAAAATCAACCAATCAGAGGGTATACCAGGATCTGGTATACCGGAACGCACTTTTGTTAAGAATTCTTAAAAGCGTTCCCTCACCTCTCTCCCCAGTCCCCCTCTACTTTTCATCGCTTTCTTTACTCTGCACCGCTCTCCACTATCTGAACGCTTGGAACAGGCTATATCTAAAGGTTATTTAGTCGCAGTAAAAAGCTATAACCCTTTAAAAGACGTCAAAGAAAATGCCAAAACTCTGCATCAGAGGTCAAATCCTGTTAGAGGCAAAGACCAAAGGCAATCAATATGCGTGAAACCCATCTTCATCGCAGATCTTTCAGTGTAAAGCAACTGGCAAAAATATTTTCAAATGTCAAATTCAAGAATCCACAACAGCATAATTTACCAGCTTGAAAGTCAAAAAAATTGAAGAAATATCATTTTCAACCGAGGTAAAAGTTAAAAGTCGTGCAGGCCCACCGGCAAATGCCTTCAGGGTTTTCACTACAGTGACTATAAATTAACCCCAGGAATAACACGTGAAATGGTCAATAACGAGAAACCAATATCGATCTCCCAGTTCTGTTATCAGTTGCCCGAGGACCGCGAGCAAAGCGAGTTTATAATCTGGTCGCGCGCGAAGCGCATGTACCGGGCGTGGTCATTGCTACAGTAGCAGCAAAATCTAACGCTAACAAAATCTAACAGAATCTAAACCCCAGCAAAATCTTTCTTTGAAGACATCGCTTGGTGTCCGCCAAAGACCTCACGTAGCGTTTCCAGGCAACATAGACTTTACCGCTGATGACCTGGGCGCACTTTCATGTTGTGTTCATGAAGGGCCAATGTGTTTATTCATCGTCTGTGAAACAATGTTTACGATCGGTGAATCATGCGATCAAGAGCAATTTGCCATGCAAATGACACAGAACAGCAAGCACAACTAGTGGCTGGAAATCCTCGCCGGCGAGGATTTTCCACCGAAACTCCTCTGGAGAACGCCGACTAAAATTCATCGCGAGCGAAGAAGACGACGACAACAAGAAATCGCAAAGGAGAGAGAACATTGCTTAGCACAGCGAAGGCAACATCATCAACACAGCGACCACAAACATGAACAGAGGCAGCGACAAAACATTACAATTACACTGTAAACGAAACCGATGAAGAGAAGGAACACCGACTGCCGACGCTTCAAAAAGCGACAAGGAGATCAGGAAACGCATGAAGTTTACAGTCAAAATTATCTTCTTCGATGCAACGATCGTGCATTACACGATCTGTATATTATTATATACATACTGAGAAATACTCACTAAAAAGCTATGTCGTAATTTTTCGTACGCAAATTAGTTCTAGCCAATCAGAGGAGCGAACGATGGTTTTCACACGTGAAAAAAAATGATACGTCCAATCAGAATCGCGAACGATGTTTTTTCACGTGTGAGAAAAATGATACGTCCAATCAGAAGCCACAGAGGTGTATGAGTTTTCGGAAAATTTGCCTTTTATTAAGCTTGGAGCGCCGCTTCGCACACATTCAACGAGAAAAGTTTTACTCAAAGAGTTTTCTCGCTAAAAAAGTGAAAACATTTCGGAAAAAATGGAATAGTTTCGTTTGTTTAAACGTCGATAAAGAAAACGGTAAAAGCCGGCGAAACAACAGCGGAAAGGGAAAAACAGAACGAGACGTAAGCTTTTGTTTGCTTTTTGTCGGAGCTACTTTGCCTTTCATTTAAGCTTAAGCTTATTTGAAACCGGTCATTTTACTTAAATTCACTCATTTTCAATTGTGCATTGAGAACAAACAGTTAAGATTACTTACAGTTCTTGGATTACCTCATATCCTTACCATCATTTAGGTTTTTAACAAACGTTTTTACTCAAAAGCTGATACTTCGTTTTCGTTGTCATTTTGCGGTAAGTGTGTAGCGGCAAAATTTAGCATTTTTGAAAGATTTAAAATAAAAAGGCCGCGAAAATGATGAATGCCTCAGTATGTATATAATAAACACAATACCACATGGAAAGTGCGTTGTACAATTTATGCACTCGTTGTTTTGTATCAGAATCTTACCGTTCGCTGCGCTCACTCGTTCGATTTCTGACGTTCAACTCGTGCGTAAATACCGTACGCCAGCACTTTCCATGGTTATGAAAGAATATCTTTCCGACGGACTGAGGACAGCCGATCAGCCTTTACACCATGAGCAACAATAGTACAGTAAGCTTTATTTTACAATGAACAGTAAAGAACACCGACAATGTGAGACATGTAGGGAAACGATACATTTGTAAACAAAACCCTTACCGAACAAAATGTTCGTTTACAGTTTTGATTACATTTAATCCCCAAAACCATACCAAGTAAAATATGTTATTTTTTCCCAAGCTTGCGAGCGGGCGAAATCCTCCAAATCCTGCAATCTGGGGCGCGATCAATTCAACCAAAATTCCAACCGGTCCGACCGGGAAAAGTGGTCCACCTCAAAAGGTGGACCCGTTTTTTCGAAACTTTTCCGGTTGGACCGAACCGATCCATTGCCCGCTAACCCGGGCGGAATCGTTGGCAGCTTCATTCACAAGTTTGTTTGTTGTTTGTGTATGAGCAAAAACCGTCATTTTCAAACCATTTTTCTTTTAAAACTTGCGCTATTATGAGCATTAGCTGGGAATAGTGAATTGTATTATTCAGACAAAAAATCTGAAGTTAGAATCTAGCAAGTCGGCGAGGAAAACCGTTAAAGTAAAGCAAAACAGGTGGCTCGTGATGTCGCTTCACTAGCTTTATAACAACGCTCTAAGTACTGCAATCTTGCTTTTATGCACTGTTTATTGGACAGTTTTGCTCTGCTTGGGGTTTTGTTTTCCATTTTTGCTGTAAGAATCTAGATTCTGCCGTTGTTTTCAATGTCAAATCATTTTTCCAGCAGTCGGTTATCGCCCTTTTCATTTCTTTGTTTATAACTTGTTACTCACATCGCCTTCTTTCATTCGAATTCAATTCAAAACCTTCAAATTGGTATGTGTAACTAGCTCTTTCTACAAAAATCATGTTGTAATGTTTTGTTTTGGGATGGATCGCGCTCTTCATCAACACGAACGCGTCCTACGTCAACACACGTAGGTTGGAGAGAGAAGGAAAATTTTCCTGAAACTTTCAAATCTCAGTAGGTCTCTCGGTACTCAAGACCTAGGGCACAGTTTCTCCCAATACGGGCCTCCCAGCCGGTGAATAACATATATTTATCTATGTATAGCAGCCTTATACATAAACACAGCTGTGTCCTCCCAGTCAAAGCGTAACAAAAATTTATTTTTGCTGGACTTCTATTTTCGATCATATTTAATATTCGAAAAGAACATCTATATTTCGGATCTCCTCACAATATTAGTGTGTGACATCTGTATAAGTCAGGAAAAGTTTAACTCTTTCAAAGAAGCGAGAGGGAGGTGACATATTCACCGAAGTTAGACATTAAACATGTTCCATTGGCAGAATATTGTTTCAAGAAAAAAAATCGACAAAAAGATATAGGGTTTCCTATAAGATCAATCCAAACTGCACTATAAGTTCACGATAAATTCATGTAATAAATAGGTGGAGAAGATGGCTGTGATCAAGTTTGGGCATTTATTTTGTATACCGGACACAGGAGGCATAAAATAAAAGAATATAAACCATGAAACAATAGCAAGCAGATTTGCCCTGAACAGAAAACAAAGAACACCGTTGTTTTAGGTCGTCTGTGTCCAGTACACGAAGTTTAGACTGCAATTGGGAATCCAAACATATCTGGACAAATTGTCAACTCATTTGGTCAGAGAAGTGTACATTTGACTGTCAGTATGAGAATTTAAAAAGACTATGCCTCTGGCAACCATGCCTTAACAAGCTCATGCAAACTGATCACCTTCAAAAGGACTTCTATGTGGACATTTCATACAAATTCACTTTTGCATGGGTATTTGTTTTTCATGCATGTACACAAATAACTATGAAAACTTTCATACGGATAATTCAGTCCTAATAAGGGTACTGTACATTAAATAACCATGAGTCGCGATCATTTTAATAATTCTCCTCAACTGCAGCCTACATGTAAGAACCTCCGCGCGAAACGTCCCCAGCGGCGAAGAGCGAGGAGAAACGGATGTTTTCGCAGGCTAGTTTGCACCTTACTGTTACAAACAATTTGTTGTCAAGTGTGATTATGTACTTCAACAAGGGCAAACACTCTCATTGATGTAGCTCGGTGCTTTTTCCATTTATTTAAAAGAAAACGATCTTTTAAAAGTCGACAAAATTCTAATGCAAGAAAAGACTTCGAAGGATTGAAAACGGCGTTTTTTAATTTACTGTAGCTGAGGTTTGTGCTCGATGGATTATTTACAACTCCCGTTTATTCGCGTAGAAAAGGCCGTTTCGTGAACTCAGCGTTTCCTAACACAAAAATTAGGCCACTTGCACTAAGAAGTCACGTGACCAATGCTTTCTTTAAACAATGCCAAAACTACTTTCTGCTTATATCTTGTTAAACATTTGATAGTTACGCTCAGATGTGCTGTAAACGTTTCCACATCATATCATCTTTTCAACATTTTCCTTGAAGCTTAAGTGCAAAATTTGTGTTCAGAAAGAGGTAATTCATAATTTTTAAAATCACATTTTGGTCACGTGACCAGCTACGAACTTACTTATTTTAAGAAAATCGTGCGGGTTTGAAAAACCAAATCACTATTATTTAGTTTAAGATATGACCCACTAATCGTTTTTCAAAGACAAAATCATATAACTTTCATTTTCATAAAAACCTCTTAGTGCCAGTGGCCTATTAGGTCCAAAACTCGAAGTTAATTTATGAAAGCAATTTTTTTGCAGAAATTCTACCTTTCAAGTAAATAGGAAAAGAATGCCACAGGAAGATGTCGTCTTAGATCGAGCAACCGACCCGCCATTTTTGTCAGCACTTCATGCGAAGTGCTGAACACCTCCCTATGAAAGCTTATGAAAAAGACGAGAGTAAGAAAGAATGATGTCCCGTACATGAATACAGATTGGAAAGCAGCAACAAGAAAGAAAGGAGGTTTGCGAAGAAATTCAGCACGGATCGAACTACAGAGTCATGGGAACTAATGAAAACCTGGAGAAACAAGGCCACACGACTGAGAAGGAAGGCGATTAAAGATTACTGGAATGGTGTCTCAGGTAAACTGGATAAGAATCCTAAGAAATTCTTTGGAACTTTTATGCCCTTTATCATCTCAAAGTGTGCTAAGGACAAGGATTCAACTGATATTTCTCTACACATCCAAGGACAGCTACAACAGAACAAGCAGATAGTTGAAGAGGAATTTACACGTTACCTTTCTACAACCGCAGACAATATTGAGGGAATGGAGGCGTCATGCTTGACTGAAGAAAAGTGTTACAGACACCCTCGGGTGAGTGCGATCAGACACAGACAAATGCCAAGTACTTTTAACATCAGGAGCATTAGCAAAGAGGAAGTTTTGGACGCCCTTCGGGGTATTAACCCTCGTAAAGCAACAGGGTTTGATGGGTTGTCCCCTAGAATGCTTAAGCTGGTAGCAGATGAGATTGCAGAACCTCTAACGGTGGTATTTAATCAAGTAATTCAGGAGAGAGAATGGCCTAAGGAGGGGAAAAGAGGAGAATGGGTACCAGTGTACAAGAAAGAGGATCTGCAAAATATAGCCAATTACAGACCAGTAATTTTGCTACCGGCAGTGGATAAGATCTTTGAGCAATTGATCTGCTATCAATTGAGGGATAAGTTCGAAAACTATCTTTGACAATTCGATGTCAGTATATCGAAAGTGTTACAGTTGTGAAACAACTTTGATACGACTGGTTGAGGACTGGAAATATGAGTGGGATACAGGGGAGACTGTAGCCATTTTGTCAACTGATATGAGTAAATAAAGCCTTTGACTCCGTGCACCCAGCGTTACTTCTGGCCAAACTGAAAGCTTACGGTTTTTGTGAAAGGGCTTTAAATCTAATGAAATCCTATTTCGACGGAAGAGAGTAGGAAAGGTGACCAGCAGTTGTAAGGAAATAAAGAGGGTATGTCCTCAGGGATCCTCACTAGGGCTCGTTCTATGGAATATCTACTATAATGAACTGTTCTATATTCAGCGAGGCAGTCATTTATCAGTATACGCAGATGACCATCAATTTTACTACGCACATAAAGACCCTGATCAGTCGGTAATGGTGATCAACAATGATGGAAGACAAACGTCGAGATGGTACAGTGAGAATTTCCTGCAGGGAAACCCAAGCAAATATGAAGCAATGATTACCGTATTTATTCGATTAACCGCCCTCGGCGCTTATTAAATTTTTGGACCTTGAGAGTGGGCGCTTATTCGAGGCTGGGCGCTTATTAAATTTTCACCATTTTCAGCAAGTGTAGTATGTTTACTTTGCAACAAAACAATAAATACTCTGAAGAAAACTCCGTCCTCGGAGAAGACTCTTATTAATTAGTACTATTCAATTTCAATTTCAATCTCATTGTCACTCAAGTGGGTGGGCGTGGGCGTGGGCGCTTATTAAATTTTTCTGCCGTTAGGATGGGCGCTTATTCGAGGTGGGCGCTAATTCGAGGTTGAGCGCTTATTCGAATAAAAACGGTATATCAAATTACTATTCTCAGAGTGACGTCGAAAGTGACACTTTTATAGTACAGCCAATGGATGAACTTAATCTTTAGGCGTTTTTATTGACAGGAACTTGTTGTTTAGTAACCATATATCTACAGCTTGCAAGAAAGCAGGTATGCGGGTAAGTGTCCTGAAGAGAATGCGCACCATGATTTCAATGAAAGTGAAATTAAGAATATACAAGGCCGCCATTTTTGCCATATCTGACATACTGTAGCCTCGTTTGTCACTTTTGTAGAGGCTCAGACCGGAGAAAGCTTGAGATGGTCAATGAACGGGTCTGCGAGCTGTATTTTGCGACTGGAGATCATCATATGATGAGTTACTTACGCGTGCACGGATGACTAGTCTTTACAATAGGCGCCTGCAGGATATCGCAATCCTCATGTACAAAGTGAAATTTAAGTTAATAGCTGCGAATATTATCGATCTTTTTAGTGTATCATTGTCTAGTTATAACCTACAAAATTCAGACTCCTTTATTCCTAGGTTCAATACCGTAAAATATGGCAGACACTCTATTAGATACCTTACACCATTTTCATAGTCCAAATTGTCTAAAAAGGACAGGGACCTAGCCACATTATCGGCTTTCAAAACAAGTATTCAAAAGAAAAACTTATTAAGTCTCATAGCTGGGAACAGATGCTCAAATTGTAAATTGTGTAATACTTGAGACCCTACTTGTTAATTTACCTTTAGATTAATTAGATTGTAGACCATTTTATTCATTTATTCATTTTTATATAAAATATTTTAACGTTATTAAGGTGTTTCGATACAGTTTTTCAGAGGCCATACCGATATTTTTCAATCGCCTTAAAAGTGGTTTTTTCCTCGTCCGATCGCTATAATATTTTCACCAGTAATTGGCCATGGATTGAAATTTGTGAAAATATAGTTTTAATTAAAATCGATATTACTATGACAACAATAAACAAAAAACTTTGAAATTGAGAAAAGCCGAATTTTGTGTGATCAAGACCACCTACTGAAAATCCAACACTAGGAACTTTTAAAAAGTTTGGTGTTTAGCAAACAATCTCCGTAAGAAGTCAAAAAATTATTTTTTAACCTTTCGCGTGATTTGATCCGTCAATCAAATCGTACTTTTCTGAATGGTTTCCTCTCTGATTTTGATGAGATCACTTCGTGTGTACCGTATTTATTCTAATAAGCGCTCAACCTCGAATTAGCGCCCACCTCGAATAAGCGCCCATCCTAACGGCTGAAATATTTAATAAGCGCCCAGCCTCGAATAAGCGCCCACCCCCACGCCCACCCCCTCCTCCCAATCAAACTCAAATAAGCGCCCACCTCCACCCCACCCACTTAAGTGACAATGAGATTGAAATTGAAATTGAATAAGGACTAATTAATAGAGAGTTTTAGATCCGAGTTTATCGCGAACCTCTAACCGTTGGAGGTCACGTGACAAGTCTTTCGCGTCACGTTTGAGGTTTACGACGTGCGTTTTCACGTATGTCATTTACCTGATAGCTTTTAGCGTATAATTCTTGTTTTATCCCACGTAATGATACAACAATCTTGTGGAGCAAGTCTTTATCCATTAACAGAGGCACAAATTCGGGCGAAATACTAAATTTGATAAATCCTATTAGATCTTGAAAACAAGTGCCATTCATGGCTGGTGATTCAAAATGGCGGCCGTAAAATTGCAAGAAGAACTAATGTAAAAATTTACAGCTCTTTGCTGCTAGATAACCCAGTGTTACCGTAAATTTCTTTTATTTCCACTGGTTGATTTTTCTTCTATTTCTAAATGGAAAAATAAACCAGAATCCACTTCTTTAATCCACCGCCAATCTAAATCGAATTATGTTTGAACGTCGAACCGCAAACGGGTAATCGTAAATCGCGGTTAGAGGTTCGTGGTAAACTCGGATCTAAAACCCTCTACTAAGAGACTTCCCCGAGGACGGAGTTTTCTTCAAGGTATTTTACAGAAACCTTGACTTGTTACTTCTTCGCGTATTGTTATTAGCATTTATTGTTTTGTTGCAAAATAAACATACTACACTTGCTGAAAATGGTGAAAATTTAATAAGCGCCCAGCCTCGAATAAGCGCCCACTCTCAAGGTCCAAAAATTTAATAAGCGCCGAGGGCGGTTAATCGAATAAATACGGTATATACCAAAGAGGGGGACATTGGGGGGTACCCAATACCGCAATACCGTACGAAAAAATGGCAAATACCGAAATACCGCGTCGCAAATCGACTAAATACCGATACCGCATATTTTAATTACATTTATAATCGGTTCCGCATACTTATGGTTGCTTCCATCTATCGCGTTTAATTATCTCAGGCATTTATGCACAAAGATGTCCATGTTTTTTTTTAATATTTTGGTAGTTCGCAAATTTTTCGCAATTCACTGAAAAGTAAACTTCATTCGTTCAACCTTTTGGTAGGAGTATACAAAACGAAAAGCATACAGTGAGGCGTGATCTCTAATACAGTCCTAATAGTGAATAACAATTCTCTTACCTTAAAACGGTTTTCTAAGGGGCATTTGCATGATGGCGTCATTATTACTACAACCGGTTTAGACTGTTCACAGTTCCCTATTTTTCCGTGAGAAAATGGACTAAACTAAACGACTAAACTTCAAATGGACTAAACGGCTTCCTGACCTTCCTGGCAAACTGCGAGTACCTAGCTCACAGACAATTCTGGTTATAGGGTCTTATAGGTCGATCCAACAGCTAATTAACTCGTATTGAAATAACTCTTGAAAGCTTGAAAACAAAAACAAAAAACAAACCAACCAAAACCCTTTCCACACACGTCTAGTGCGAGTTTTGAGTCACCTATCTCGACTATCTGACCTATTTCACACGCCGCAACTGTAAGAACTAAAGAAGCAAACTTACCAAATCCTCTCCTTTAACTTTACAAGCCGTTTTTCTGTACTTGAAACCCGGCATCGAAATTTATTTTTCTTGCGATAATTTTCCCCTCCTTTGCCTTCTTCGTAAAAAATTGCAACGCAGTCAATGATGAGTTCGCCGTCTTGACCGTCTTGAACCAAAGCGACCTCAGCCATCGTGAGAAAACGTGTAAGACCTCGAATTACCGGCACACGTGCCTGGTAAGGTAACTTCAGACAACTCATTGTCATTGGATGCAACAACAATCTCATTGTATCTTGACCTATTATTATCGACCATTTAATAACTGTCACAAAATGACCCACAAATGGTGTAATCATTTACCATTATGTCTAAAGACTTCTAAATATTAACTTTTCTTGACCTTTATGTCTTACTGTGTTTTGTTTTGCGTATTGTATCGAAAGGAAAGCGCAAACAACCGTACCGCAATACCGTAAACAATCATATTTCACCGAATACCGTCAGCCAAAATGATGAAATACCGCATACCGCAAGGCTAGACGATACCGCAATACCGCACGTTAAAATTAAAATTACCGAAATACCGCATGAAAAAAAGCCCAATACCGCAATACGTAAACCCCCATGTTCCCCTCACCAAAGTTAATTATTGGAGAAGTTAAATGTTCGACAGAATGTATGTTGATACCAGTTCATTACGGTTGTTCAGGGTCGCCATTTGAGGTTTCGTTATATTAAAAAATTTCTCGGAAATACACAAATTACACCGTTTAGTTAGGTTTGTGTATTCGCTTGCCTATCTTTTGGGGGTTGCTCTTGTTCAGGTTGTGCGGTTTTCTTTAAGATGGTTTTGTTATAACCGTCTTTGACCTCTTTCATGTTTGGCATACAACTGTAGCTTAATTTGATAGTATTTCTATTAAGTTTTTTTCTCAATTTGTGCCCGGTGGGGAAACATCCGTCAATTGGGTGGATGAAAACTCTTCCGGTTTGGACATTTCTGTTCAATGGTGGGTTGAACCATATTACATTCACGTTTCTCTGCCTTCTCGTTTGGTTCGGTGGTCTTTCCGGTGCGGGGTTAAACATAAGGTTGTAGGAATAACCGCTCTTACGTAATGCTTCCTGGTATGGGAGTGCTGCTTCGTTGAATACATCCTCGTCAGATGAAATGTCGCATAGCCTTCTGCTTATTGCTTCGGGAATATTTCTGATTATGTTCGGCGGATGGTTTGATTTATTTCTGTGCACATAGAGTGGGTTAGTTGTTGGTTTCGAACATGGCTTAAATTTTTCAGTGCTAAAGTCCAGGGTTACCCCAAGGAAGTTAACATTTTTTTTTATTGGCTTCCATAGCGATTTTCAAGTTCTTTTTGGCGAATATTTTGCATATTGATTTCTTCACTTTCTTTATTTTTCGGGTCTCTGTTTGAGAACTACCAGTCTGCCGTCACGGCAAAGGCCGACGTCGATGTCAGGTATTTGTTTAAGCTGAGAAAGGAGGTAGCACCTAACCAATTCGGATTTTTCTGCTCCGTCGTATCTTCCTATAGTGACATCGAAGAGTGTGCTGGAATTTCTCCTTTGCCATGGATTTCCGTTGCTAAAAATGAGTGATTGTTTGGCATGTATGATTGTTTGGCCGTCATCAGCTGAGATGGTCACGTAATTTGACGCTGAGTCAAGGGCAACGGTTTAAGTACTGTTTCCGTTATGGAACGGGGTAGAACTCCACTACATCAAAGCATATAAAAGCTGAGTCACGCTTGTCTGGAAAATTCTTGTACCAATGTAGCACTGAAGTATTTTTCCACTGGTTTACATTTGTGGCTCTTACGATTTTTTGGTTTAAGATTCTCGAGATTTACCATCGTTTTTTAAAAGTCTTGAGTTTCAAGATTATTGATAACTTGAAAGACAGAGAAGTAAGGGCTACAATTCGCTAACTCCTCTCATTATTCAGGGGTATTGTCATATTTTTGTGGACAACAATAGCCAAAATTTCTGCATATTTCAAGTTCATTGTCAGTTACTGTTCAGTAACAATGCGTCAGCCCCCTAGCCTCCCACGCAGGCGTTTTTAGGGAGTTCGTTTTTCTTCCCTCCCCACGAACGCCTGCTCAACTGAAGATAACATTCCTTTCCCAAGCTTAGCCAATCACACTGTACTTTCCAAATTCTGGAAAGTTGACCTTGACCGCAAGGTAATCTGATAATTACTCAATCTGCATTAAACACTGGGAAAGCTTTCTGACCTGCAATAAATGTTAGATTCAGAGCGGCAAAAAATAAAAATTAGTCAAAATTCAGAATACTCCGTGCACTGCATAACCTTTTTTCCGTTGAGCAGGCGTTTGTGGGGAGGGAAGAAATACGAGCTCCCCTAAAAACGCCAGTGTGGGAGGCTATCAGCCCCCCCCCCACCACTAATCCCAGGGGGTGTTATTTGCAGGTTGCAGGTCAGAATTTAAGAGTTAAATTTAAAGATAAAACGAAAAAGACGTTGTATGAACAAAGCCAGTATTAATTCAGTTTAAGGACAGGTGCTGTGCAATGTAGGTAATGTCAACTCCCTCTCATTCAAATCTATGCCACAGTCAAGCACTAATTGGTCTCAAACAACAAATACAAAAGTAGAAAATATTGTGTTTAATTCTGAACAAATTTCAACCCGCAAATGGATTTTCATGACATCGTGACGATTGGTTTTTGCTATTAAAAAGATAGGGATCCCTCCACCTCCTTCTGATGTTCCTTGGATCTTAAAGGGGCTATGTCAGCTGGAGAGCATGTGTGCTGGGGCTATGCAAATTACTTTCAAGTGTCACAATTCGATTGTTTTTAACGCATGACTTTCACTGTCACGTCCAAGGCTCCAAAATTTACAGATGTTTACAATCGAATTTGGTTTGGATAAGGGATATTTTGATAGAATTTATGGAACGTTTCTTCTCTGGTAATGCTAGATCAAATTCCCTCAATTTACTCCTCAAGAATAGAAGTGCTAAGACAATTTTACTTGTAGTTTGAAGTAAAAACACATGGCATTCATCAAAACAGAGCGCAAACAAAAATTCAACAACAACATATTGTTGTAGTCAACAAAATAAATCAAAGTTTTATCTTACATCTTAACCATACAGAAGATTCTTTCTAAGATTCCATCACTCATTGCGGAGTAGCCATCATTAGTTCTCTGCCAGTACAACGGCCAGTGATAAGAGGGCACTATAAATCCATGTAAATAAATTCCAATGCCAAACAATTTCAAAAATAATGCAAGAAACTTTTTCTGTACTCACCATAGAATGATCCTTAATAAAAAAATTTGTTAACTATTAAACAATGGCATTGGCTGATATTTTAACAGATAAAACAGGTTTCCAAAATATCTGACAGACCTTGAAAAAGTTGGTTGACATTTTCAAGTTTGTTTTCATTGGCTTGCGCATGCACCTGGGGTGACATAGCCCCTTTAACTGCCGGTGTCTGATTTTTATTATTCTTTAGGAAAACCTCACTCATATCCAGACACCCAGAGAGGACTGAACCTACTTCTGGTGCAAGAAATGTCTTTTAACGCCATTTTCACCCACTTCCACTTCCTCTACCCTGGAATATTTCCATAAACGGATCGTCATGGTGTCTCAAGGTTTGTCCTTTTGGAACTACCATTATTTTAAGCTTAAGCGCTTCCAGTGTGACCTTGTGTCTCATAACAAATTCTGACTGGCAACCTGCAAATTACACCCTCCACACCAACCCCACTCTTGGATATCTACAAATGGGTGTAACAAAGCCGACGTTACGAGATCAGTCAGGACACCACTCAAATAAACCGCCAGAGGTTGACAGACAATAAACCTAAAAGTCCTAAATAGCGTTTGTACCTGTAAGCTACGTGCATAGCGATGGTTCCTCCCATGTCCAATCCACCAATTATAATCTTCTCATGTCCAATTCCACGGGACTTTTCTAAGTTCACTAGTTGCCTAACAAGACTGCATGTGTAATTGATTGAATCCTTCCTCTCCCCTGCTGTCGGACTGTATGAGATTTGTTCGTACCACATTCCCTTTCGCGTACCGCCAAGGGGAACACGATAAGGGATCTCTGGGGCTTGGGGATAAATAACTCGAATGTGATCGAACTCGAACTCTCTGTGAAACATAGTTTTAAGATATTTTCTCATCGTCTCAGCGGTAAATTTTTCGCCATGAAGAAAGATCAAAGTGCCAACTTGGTGAAGATTCTCTCGCGCAATCAAACACTTCAAATTCGGTAATGCCATGCCTGTTGCTCCTTCAATATGTTGCAAATTCTTCTCGATTATAGCGTAAAACATGCGGTACACTATAATAATCATATATGAGTGTTCTACCTGACAGGTAGTTCATGTATAGGACATGTAATGTCCTCGTCTCGGGTCTTGTAGTCTTTGAAAATGGCCGCAAGTGGTGCCTTAAATGCGGGAAGACATATACGTTTTTCTTCTTTGGTTTTTGTTGGATCAGCTAAGAAAAATAGACTAAAGACAGGTAAGAATCTCATGGGAACGTTATTTCCAGCTTTCTTTGATCTTGCTTGTTTTGTTTTTTAGGCTCTTGTATACGTAATCACATGATTTCGAGTGCAATTTGGAATAAATAAGCTCGAGTAAATTCTTTAAAGACTAACAAAAGTGCACAAGCCCGTAGTGATTACTTACATGTGATTACTTATTAATAATATACACGAAAAACATAACTACAACAACAAATTATGACAGCGCGTGCGTTTTTAGTGCATTCAACTGATGGCTGAAACAGACCACTACCTTTGTCAAATTCAAACTTTTTCAAGACCAAAACTTTCAAAATCATTCAGCTAAGAACTTGGAAGTGTGCAAGGACTGATTTTATTTATTTATTTATATATTTAGTCACTCACAAAACCTTACACAACATGAACAAAAGGTGTTAATTAAATTATAAAATTAATGTGACAAGGGAGCCTAATGAAGCTTGAAGCTTATATTAATAGGCTTCCTTCAACTACCTAGTGAACTGACATGGCTGAGTGCAGAGTGAGCAGATCAGAAAATTAAACGACAGATCGGCTATCAGTGAGATAATTCTTTAGATTTTTTGTAAAAACAGATATAGAAGGAGAGCTAATTAGTGAAACAGGCAACGAATTCCAGATTTTAGGTCCTCGGTAAAGGATACTGAATTGCTTTATATTTGTTCTACAAAAATGAGGTCTATACTGAGAGGCTAGTCAAGTTTCGTATCGATGGACTTGATTACTAGTTAAGAACAAGTCATGAAAGCTATTAGGCAAAAGATTATGGTGATAAGAATACATAAAGGTAGCGACAGAAAATGAATTAATACTAAATATGTCAAGGACTATAAGCTGGCTAAATAAAGGGGTGGTATTTGCTAGATAGTGAGCTTTTGTTATGAGTCGCACTAGATGCTTTTGCAAAAGGTAAAGACAGTTTAGGTTGGAACAGAAGGTGGAGGACCAGGCGACATTACAGTATGTTAAGAAAGGATATACAAGGGAGTAATACAAGGTCATCAAAGTTTGGGATGATAGGTAAAAGCAAGCTTTTGCAATAATTCCCACACTTTTCGAGATTTTTTTTGAGACAAAATCAATATGTGTTTCCAAGAGAGATGCTGATCAATGAGAACACCTAAAAATTTTGTCTTCGTGACTTGCTTGATCACGGTATTTTCCAGAGTAAGAGGGACATTAACATTGACTTTCTTTTGCCTTGGATGAAAAATCATAAAATTTGTTTTAGTCAGATTTAGAGATAACTTATTCACTTTAAGCCAAATAATTATTTTTGCAAGTTCATTGTTAACAATAGAAACGAGGTGGTTGGCATCTTTATGGGAACAAAAGATACTTGTGTCATCAGCAAACAGTAAAGATTGAGTGAGACTAGAGACATTAGGAAGATCATTAATGTAAATAATAAACAAAAGAGGTCCAAGAAGTGAGCCCTGCGGGACGCCACGTAAGATTTTCTGCGGATAAGATCGATGGGACCCAAACTGGACAAATTGAGTCCGGTGGTCAAGATAGCTTTTGATCCATGCCAAAGCAGTATCCCGAATAACATAGTGTTGCAGTTTTTGACGCAATATTTCATGATTAACAGTATCAAACGCCGTAGAAAGGTCTAAGAAGATGCCTAAAGTTGTTTCATTTCTGTCGATAGCTGAAGATATGTTGTTGATCAAGTCAATTAACGCTAATGCAGTCAAATGATTATTACGGAATCCAAATTGTTTCGAGTATAAAATATTATGCAAATTTAAGGAATTAATCAGTCGGTTGTACATGACTTTTTCAAAGAGTTTAGAAAAGGCTGGAAGTGTTGGGTCATCTGCCTTAAAAGCTGGAATCACTTTGGCTATTTTGAGAGATTCAGGAAACACACCAGTAGGCAACGAAGTGTTTATAATGGTTCAAGAGGCTGTGCAATATTTTGGAAAGACTGATGAATTATCTTCATGGATATATTATCATGTCCAGGAGCTTTGTTAGCGTTGAACGATTTAACAATATTGTTTAGCTCACCGACCGTTTGTGGTTGTAATGAAATGGATTCAGAAAGAGTGCTGCTTAAGAAATCCTTGGGTGACGAATTGGTGGAAGGAATTTTGCTCACCAAATTTGGCCCTATATTGGTCAAGTAATCACAGAATTTATTGGCAATGTCAGTAGGATTGCTAATTTCCATTTCATTTTTGGTGAAGCTTGCAGGATACAGTGATTTAGCGACACGCCTGTTGATCACTTCATTAACCCTTTAAGTCCCAATAGTGACCAACAGCAATTTTCTCCTAATGATATCCTTACATTATCATGAGATGAGGTTATGAGAATTAATTAAATGATCACCTAAGAGAAAATACTTTGATCTTTTATCAAATTCTCTCAACTCATTCTTTAAGGAAATGTATAGAGATCAGTTTGGAGAATTTGTATGTGGATATTGGGGCTTAAAGGGTTAAGAATTTTCCATGTTTCCTTTAAGTTTGAACTAGCCTTATCCAATTTGTTGTCATAATAATTTTTCCTGGCGATACGAACAAGACAAGTTAGCTTATTTTAGCTTATTTTATTTGGTCACCAGCCATTTAAAGATAACTTGGTTTACAATAATCAGCAAAGTAAGTGTTTTTCAATTCATCCTCTATTATTAGAGCTCGGTGTTTACAAGAAGCGTTTACAAGAAGTATACTGCCGTTTTGAAATCAGGAAAACGCTTTGAGCAGCCAAAGATGAAAGACACTTGCTAAGGTTTTTTAACGACTGTTCATCATTGTCTGTTCCTGAGACCCCATCATAGCTGGATTCATGGAGAAATTTTTGAGATTTAATACCCAAAAATGAAGGAGGCAATTTGTTTTCTTCTGACGCTGCCATCGATGGGTGAGTGGAGCCACAGTTGTTGTGATGTCGGAAACTGCCTGTATTTATATGATATTTGCTTTTTCTCAGCGCTGGGGTTTTCATTATTTCATTTGGCCTACTGCAAGAGTCATTGTAGCTCTTATTTGTTGGCTTCATTGTAGTTGTGAATGAAATTTATACTTCTGTGGCCTGTGACATGGGCAATATGTTCTGAACTTACAATCTTTGCTTTCGTCAGCTTCCTGACTGTTGTTTTTCTTGCACAATGATTCGTAAACTTTTTTCTCACTTTCCTTAAGGCTAGTACCAGCTACGGATACTTTCATTACATTAGCTATGGTATTTTGTCCCATTGGTTTAGTTTGGACCAGATGTTTAAATTTTCGGTTTCATTTGCTACTTAGGCAGAGAAAAACAGACCATCGCATGGATGTTTAACAGTATTAGAGGTCTTTGCTCCACAAAAGACTCAGAGAGAGAAACTGGACACCTTTCTCCTCCAACAAATAATGTTCATGACTTGAAATACCTGTTTGTTATCATGGAAAACTTCTATCCTTGTTCATTTAAATGCCTGAAAAGTGTAGCTGTTATGGTTTGCGTGTGGTTGCCACTGTTTTTGTTCTTTATTTTTTTACTTTAGCGTTGTCTGTTATAAGTAGCTTGTTTTTTAGTTTCTCTGGCTCATTTTCCTCAATTTTGTTGACAGTATTAATTTTCTCTTAGCACCGCATTTTCAATACATTTAGCCAGAAAGATGTACTTTTTACTGTGTTCGGGTTTTTGGAATATTTTTTTAACTTTCCTATCGTTGTTTTGCCTACGAAATTAAGTCCTGTCGTCGTCTGCTGAAAACCATGGCCATTTTCTTAAATTTTGTTGGTAAAACAGATCTAATCTGATTGGTTGATGCGAGAAATTCAGTGGTTTCCAAATTTAAGTCATAATTTATGCGAAAATGATAAGCAAAGTTAACATGATTATATCTAATAAACTATGAGATTTATACCTTTGTTTTGGGGATTTTTATAACAGATGGGTCCTTGCAATTTGGAAACCGCTGAATTTCTCGCATTGGGTCTTTGTGATTTTGGTGAAACTCTGTTCAACGCAAGGAACTAATATGCACTATATGTAGCCAAGAGATTTTCACAAAAAAAATGCCGGCAATAGCAGAATTTCGACTCAGACCCTAAAGAGGCGTGGCACTATAACCATGTGAAATTTACTCCAATCGCCAAAAATGTCATGCTATATTGTAGATTGATCTATATGTTATCCATGCTATATGTTAGACTTACGATCAAAGTAAAGGTGGGGATACCAGAGAGCTCCAAAGTAGGATGGTACCCTCACAAACTAACTGGGTCGAGTCACCTTAACGAGCTGAAATACCCCCTGAAGATAGCTTTCATGTTCCTCTCGATATTAAAAATCGTGAAGGTGCAAGTTTCAAACTATATTTGTGACTTTGCTCGATGGTCCTTGGCAGCCCCCCAAAAAAAAAAAAAAAAAAAAAAAAATCGTGAGAATGCGATAGTTTCCATATGAAAACTTTGTTTTCACAATATTTAATGTATATTTTCTATTCTTGATGCAATAAAACTATAGTTTTTTTAATCTGTTGTGTGTGTACAAAATAATCTCCTTTTCCGTTTAGAGACTTCAGACAACAGTCTCTTGTCTCCCACACAAGCGGTTTTCAGCACGGTCTAAAGTAATAACTATATACTCTGTATGTATTCAAGATATTAACAAAAGAGAACTTGTAATTAACATGTAAAGGGAAGGTTTTTAAAACATTCTTTGAAATAAAGGTCGTCTGCTTTTATTTTGCAAAATGTAATTTGACCAAGGTCATGCATGTACAGGTACAGCTGTAGGTTGCAGACCAAGGACTATTATAGAATAGAATAGAATAGAAAACTTTATTAATGTGTTGGAGCCGTATAGCTTGGGAGCAACCCCATACTAATTTGGGGGCACAATTTATAGTTAAATAATTGAAATTACCTATAAAATATAAAAGTAAAAATATTTAAACTATGCATATATATTATACTCTAACGATAATCTAAAATAACTGAGAGAGAATTGTAAAATTAAGTGGTTATGATGTGCAGAGAGAACAGCTCTAACATCCACCATCTATCATTTTTACGAATTCTGCTTTTAAAGATGTTCAGAGTTTTCGCTGATGTTTACTCAGGCGGTAATTTTTGCAATAACCTAGGCCCAAGATATGTTAAAGAATGTTTACCATATGTTACAGTATTATATCTAGGAATAGAGAAATCTGGATGTCGTAAATAATAAGAAGAGTTATGATTATTGAAAAGATTACAGATATAAGTTGGACATAGATTGTGCTTCACTTTGTACATAAGCGTGCAAATATCCTGTAGGTGCCTATTCAATAGTGTTGGTAATTCTGCCCTCTCAAGAAGTTGTTGATAACTTGCATACTTGTCTCTATATACAGCCCTCAGTCCCCTTTCTTGCAGTCTTTCTAGTTTTCGCCCATCACTACATCTACAAAAATGCCAGACTAAATGGCAATACGTAAGGTACGGTAAAACTGCTGATTTGAATACAAATGTAGCATTGGCTTGGCCTTAGTTGGAATTAAGTTCCTAAGTCGCAGGAGCACGCCGAATCTTTGACTAGCTGTCTTACAAATAGTGCTAATGTGATCAGTAAAGTTAAATTTGGAATCTATTGTAACGCCTTGGAGTCCGAGCTTTTCTACATTCTGGGATTTTCTACACTATTATGCAAAATTTGGTTATATTTTTCAAGAGTCGATAAAACAACGAATTCAAAGTCTGCAGCAATGTGCTTCCAAAAGCAAAAATAGGTTTATTTGGAAACTTGTTCTGTCAAAAGGGACGTCTTCCCATCACCTTTTTATTATTTATTCACAAGCTAAGTAAACATACCATGTAATTTACGGTGCTGCAAAAGTCCAAACTTCAAGAAAGACAAAATAGCCTACAGTGTACCTATCGACAAACTTGAATTTCGCACCTTCACCCACGACAGGAAAGTCGAAACTTTGTCATTTTTGAAACAGGGACTGGAAGAGGTTTCGGGTGATCTTTGAATTGACCAGTAAACCAGTGTGAATCGGAAAAACTCTTGAAATACAATCGTGATTTGTGAATTATATATTCACTGTGATGCGTGATCCTCCAACAGTTTACTCCATGAATCAAGATTTCTATTGAGAAAGCAGATGTAATGTCTTAAAAATTGGATAGCCATATACAAGTACATGTAAATTGTCTGTCAAGATGGTTCAAAATAGGTCTTTTTCCATTGTTATATAATGTAACTAAGTGCATTGTTATGTTCTGTACTTGACCATGTTTGACCTCTGTGACCTCTGTGACTCATTTGGTAACTGACATAAACTAAAAAGAAGAGCTGTGACATATTGTTATCACTTGTCAAAGGCTCTGGCTTATTGCAAAATGAATAAAAGCTTCCTGGTCACAGCCATTCATGGTTGTACTGGTGGCAAGTGTCAGAGTAGTCAAAATGCCGCGAAGAAATGATCTATCCTGAACAATTCAATCCCACTATGAGGTTTGCAGAGTGGTTGAAGCAGAAGTTGTTGGAAACTCACAGCCATGTTTGTATTATTGGTCTGTAGAGCGTGCGCAGAAAACATGTCTCCAGCTCGTGTCTAAAGGTTCTCAACTGTTCAGTCAGTACAAGCTGAATCTGCAATAGGCAAACAATCTTTTGATTTCAAGAGTTTACAAATTGCTTGTCCATGGCAGCTTTAGCCAGCTGTTGAGTACTGATGTTATATTTAAATTTATTTATACCCAACAAACAGTCCAATTTTTCAGTCATCTTCAAGCTGTCATTCCCAATAAAATACAGTGTAGTCTTGGCTGCTCTATCTCCAATAATAGTTTAAAGGGGTGAAATTCCAGGGATGCCTGTGAGGTCTCCTTTCTGCTCAGATCGTAATGTTGTTCAAGCATGATTGAAATGAATATCAACCCAAAGCATTTATCTGGGATGCCCATACATATACATAACATACCTGGTTTGATTGATGTATTGATAAATATTTGATCAACATTACCATACCGTGCCAATAAGAAACTGTGTTCATGGACAAACACACTTTTTCAAAATCATAGGGTTTGGGGCAAACGTTTCCTTTTCTCCCTTTCCCTCTCCCTTAATTCCCCTTTTTTGCTCTCATCCCAACTTTCTCGATGAACTTGCGCAGAAATGCTTGATATGCTGGTTAGCTTTATCTGTTCCTTTCTGTTTTTGTGATGTGTTTTGTGTTATGGCAGCCTTCAAAACATTACGGTTTTGAAAAATTATTTGTGGCTATCATTAACTTCAAGGTCATCTCTTCTAAAATCATTGCGAAAATGGAATCCAACGCACACCTAACGTCACACGATATGCACCAGAACTAAAACATGTTTATTTATTTATTTTTTTTCATTAACAAAAGTACGGCGACTCAATTTTCCGGTAATTCAAGATCACCAACCTGTCATTGTTCCTTTTTTCCACCTTAAAAATCTTTTATTTGTTACAGGGTAAGAAGCGGTGCATGTGCATGTAAGTGCCGACAGGTGGTGTGAATTTCTGTAGGTTCGAAAAAAAAAATTCTTTGTTTCTCAAAACTTGAAACACATTAAACTCAGAGTAGACTCAATTCTTATTTCTCAAATTTTGATCTGTTGGCGTTTTGAGATGTAAGAATTGATTTTTGAGGATTGAGTCAAGACTGTCAACTTACATGTACTTTTGTGTGGTCTTGAATGACATTGTCCACAAAAGCCCTTTGCTGATGATCTTTCAAAAAAATAGTAACCTTGTTAACAATGTATAGGTTAATATCAGGCCTTTTCTTAAGTTTATCGGTAACTCCTTTATGGGAAACTGAGTCAAAGGCTTTTAAGAAGTCAAAATACAGAATGCTTAAAACGTTAGCCTAGCCATCAAGCCATGTCATCCAAAAGTACCTATTATAATGTGATAATTAGGCATTCAGAGTTCCATATTAATCTGCCTTATAAGCAAACTGATTTGAATGATTAAAACAAGAAATGGGTGTCCTTAATAAATCATTTTCCAGGACTAATCTATGAAAAATCTCATTATAATCTGAGCCACCATTTTTCTAAATTAGCAGGGACTTGTTTTGACTGCCTAAAAATGGTTGGATTCATTATTTGTTTTAAACATTGGTAAGCTTGACAGAATCATTATTTTCTTTTTTGTTTTGTTTGTTTTTGTCCATACAGGATGCTTGCGTTCTGCAAAAGCGTTCTCTATAAGGAACCAAAGTACAATGCAAGTACAAGACAAGAATCCTAGAATTTTTACTGCTGTTTGTGTACAGCGTTCACCAGTTGTTACAAAGATGAAGTCTCATCTAGAAGTAGCTTATCAAAAATTTCAAGATCAGCTGGAGTTGGAACACAGTGCTCTGTCTGAAGATGAAGTTCAGTTAGAAGAATTCCTGCAAAGGAAAAAAAAGCTAAAAGATGATGACGATGAAAATATGACAATAGGAATATTTGAGGCAGACAGGAAGGTAAGATGTATAGTTTGGCCTGAGTTAATCAACATTCAGACTGCAAAAACTGACCTGCGGTATATTTATCCGTAGCGCAGTTTCATCTTACTACAGTGCAGCTCAGAGATAAGCGTCCAAAAATTTTCGTGCGAAACGCGTGTGTGCAATTTGCGTGGTGTCTAGAAAGCGAAGACCCTAGAGAACGAAGACCCCCCTTAAAATCACTTGGAAACGGCTTGAAACTTCTTATAATCATATGTTATTTCACGGTTGGTGAGTGCGTACGTTTTTTAATTCACAAGTTGTATAAAACTGAAATGGCCTCCTTGTAAAATACTTTACATCTAAATTATCAAGCAAAAATGCGGTGAAAAGGCAGAACTAGTTAGAATAAAATAAGACATCCTGAAAATATGTCGAAATAGTTCTACAAAAGTTCAAAATTTGAAATACAGAAGTGAAAACCCGAGATTGACAAACACTAGTCAGAATCCGAATCAAGAGGTTTGATTCTTTTATAAGTTTTGCTAGGGCTTTCCTCTCGTACTGAAAGTGTGGGCGATTGATTTAAAGTGTTAATTGCCACACCAAAATGTCCTCCACTTATAACAGCACCCGAAAAAAGAGAAAGGGGTTGCTGTGACAGCTGCAATAGTTAATTCGAGATTTGGATGCTTCATCGTTTCTGGCCTCGAGTAAATTTCATTCCGCCACAAGATCAGGGAACAAAGCCTGCGTTCTTCTGATGATACCGCCATTGTTACTGGATTCATGGAATTACAATAATGGAATGAATTTCTATTATGAAATCTCTCGCGGATACTATTTCCTGTTACGTCATCCTAAATTCTGCAGCTGCTTGAGTATCAAACAACATCAACGCCCATGCATTTATTACTCTGGATCAAGCGCGACATTTAATCCTCTACTAGCCGATGATTTAGTATTTTAACTTAAACCGGGTCCCACAGGGATAATTAGAATACCGACAATAGTGTCCTCGCGAAACAATGATGTAAACAAAAACACAGTGGCCTCGACTTGTGTTCGTCGGAACATTAAATCTTAAAAAGGTTACTTGTTGTCACAACAACCCTACTCTGTTACGACCACTGACTTTCTGCTTATGGAATTGCCAGTCCGTACGCGAAAAGACTGCAGTTTTCCAAGAATATCTGTGCAGTAACAAGATTGATGTATCTGCAGTAACTGAGACTTGGCTATCCTCGGACGATGAGGCGGTTAGAGCTGAATGCACTCCTATTGGTTACATGCTTCATGATCAAATACGCTGTCACCGAGGTGGGGGTGGTAGCGTTCTGTTGTCTCGTACAGAACTGACCGTGACCCTTCACTCTACTGGGGAAAAGACCTTGTTTGAGTTTGCTGAATTATTGTCATCGTAGGAAACAACAAAGTCAAGGTAGCCATTATCTATCGGACACCGTAGTCTGAAAAACACCCAGTAACGGTAACCACCTTTCTCAGCGAATTCGCTGAATACCGAGAATCAATTGTGCTGTCATCTGAACGTTTCCTCCTCATTGTAGGAGACATGAATATACACGTGGACGTCCCAGATGATGCCGACGCTATAAAGTTTTTAGATCTCCTGAACTGCATGGGGCTAACACAGCATGTGACTACACCAACTCACCGTTCTGGACAGGATAGCTTTGTTCAGACCTCGCCCATCTCCGACAGTTTCTTGTCAGATCATTGCACTGTTCTATCTGAACTAACTCTCCGTATGCTGGCTACAACTCTTAAGAAGGTCCTGCTACCGGAAGACTAAGGCTATTGACATTGAATCTTTCAAGGATGATCTCAGGAAATCGAGACTATGCCAGGACCAACCCGATGCACTTACAGACCTTGTTTCCTGTTACGATTCAACCATGACCAGCCTGTTAGGTAAACATGCTCCACTTCAGAAGAAGACTATCACGGTTCGTTCGCGGGTTCCTTGGTTCAATAACGAAATCAAGGAAGCCAGCGTTTTCGTAGACGGAATGAAAGAATATGGCGAGGGACAGGGCTCAAGTCAGACAGGGTAAAATTCATCAAGGCATGCAATCATATAAAAAAAGATGATGGAGCATGCGAGGTGTGACTATTATTTCAATCTTATTAAAACGAGTGTGATCAGAGAAAGCTTTTTAAAATGGCCAGTGCACTACTAGGAGGGTCGTCACAGGAACAATACCCCAAACAATTCCCTGCTATGCTTGCTAATGAGTTTGGGAGATTCTTTACTCAAAAGATCGATGACATTCGCTAAAAGCTGGACAGGATTGACCCCTCATCAAATCAGCCTGACTACTCGACCAGGAGTAGCGTCCAAGAGCACTCGTATACTGGCACACCCTTCACTAAGTTCGAGCCTATATCGTCTGAAGGTATCAAAAAACTGGTGCTGAATGCCCCAAACAGACTTGCAACAATGACCCTATACCTATCAAGATTGTTAAAGACTGCACTAATGAACTCTTACCGACCATTTCCAACATAGTTAATCTTTCGCTCAGTAGTGGTCATTTTCCTGACATTTAGAAAGAGGGTTTAGTGAGACCAAAGTTAAAGAAAGTCAACATGGATTTGATAAAGAAAAACTACCGGCCCGTCAGCAATCTCGCATTCCTTTCAAAGATCACTGAAAAGGCAGCTGCACTACAAATCTCTGATCATGTGTCATTCAATCAGATGTATCCAGAATTTCAATCAGCCTACCGCAAATATCACTGTACGGAGACTGCCTTACTGCACATGCGCATCGACATACTCGTCAGCATGAACAAACAACAAGTCACATTACTAGTGTTCCTAGATCTAAGCGCTGCCTTTGATACAGTAGACCATGATATATTACTGGGGCGCCTGGAATACAAATTTGGAATTAAAGATCAAGCAGTAATGTGGTTCAAATCCTACCTGTCGAATAGATCCCAGTGTATTGTAATCGGCAGTGCAAAGTCAGACAGTTTTGATCTGAAGTTTGGTGTGCCACAGGGCTCCTGTCTCGGCCCAATGCTGTTCTCCCTTTACACTAGTGAGCTTTTTTGATGTCACTAGCCAGCACTTGCCAACAGCGCACAGTTACGCCGATGATACCAGTATCTATTTGGCATTCAATCCAAACGATGATTCCGATCAAGACGCCGCCACTGCAGCAATGGAAGCGTACCTCTGTGACATCCGAAGCTGGATGATCAATGACAAACTCATGATCAATGATTCCAAGACTGAGTTTATGCTCACTGGGACGAAGGCGCAGCTGCAGAAAACTAAAAGCGCTACTCTAACTATTGGCGAATCCATCAACTCTCCCAGCACGGAACCCCGTAGAAACTTAGGTTTGACTGCCATTTCAACCTGAACTTTAACATAATCAAAACTTGTAGGAGTGCTTTTTTTCATCTACACAATATTAGACACGTCAGGAAATATCTTAGCATAGAATCTGCCGAGAAATTAGTCCACGCTTTCATCACAAGCAGATTGGACTATTGTAACTCACTTTTATATGGACTACCCCACTGCGCCCTCACTAAACTACAGCTTGCTCAAAACGCAGCTGCAAGAGTTCTATATCTAGCACCACGGTATTGCCATATCACACCAATATTATACGAATTACACTGGCTGCCTGTAACATTTAGAATAGAATTTAAGATTATTATAATCACTCACAAAGCAATCCATGGAACAGCTCCTAATTATTTATCATCTCTCGTCAACTTTAAACCTAATTCTTCCTACAGCCTCATATCAGATAACAAATATCTGCTTTCAAATCCAAACTTCAGGACTCTCCCTACTCTTGATGACCGGCCTTTGTAGCCGCCGCACCAAAACTGTGGAATAATCTTCCGTTAGATCTTAGATGCACCTCCCATTTTGAAGTTTTTAAACGTAATTTGAAGACTTGCCTTTTTAAAAAAGCCTTTTCTGATATAATGTTGTAATTTATAGACTAGATAATTATTCATTCGTGTAATTTTTAATTGTAAGCCGCATTTGAAAACTGTATAGTTGAATTTGCGCGGTATAAATAAATGTTATTATTATTATTATTATTATTATTAAAGTTATTTTTCTAGAAATAGTTTACCTAGACCTATATTCTGACAACGTTTGGGGATTTTCGATTTTTTTCATTTTGCACACCTTCAGGCGATATTTACATACGGCCGCTTTTAAGCAGTATAATAACACTGAGCACAGTTCCATTAAAGTGATACCCATAGAAGCCAGTAAAAAGAAGAATGAAAGTACCGTGTATTTCAGTCTACATAGCGATATTGAGCAATTGTCATCTAAACCCCAGTTCAAGGCTGGTGATAAAGTCAGGATAGGTACACACCTAATTGGACTGAAGAGATATTCCTTGTTGATAAAATCCATTCCACAAATCCAATCACCTATAGGTTAAAGTATCTCAACAACGAGGAGATACAAAGGAGCTTTGACGAACCTGAATTACTAAAGGCAAAACAGGATATATTCAGGATTGATAAAGTCATTCGGAGACATTGCAAGAAAAAACAAGACGCTACAGAGCGTACACTTCGGCGTCGTTGTTGTGGAACTAATTGTAAATGCGGAGGAATAGTAAGAAATCAAATATGGTAAGAGTAAGGTGTTAATTTGTGAAATTATGGGATTTGTAAGGATATTCTGAAAAGAGCAACATCCAAGAGGCCTACTTGCCAAAAACTAGCATTTCGGGACAAATTGTCTCCGAGATATTAGCCCAGTTATGCTCTGATGACTCCATACAAATCCTTCTAAAAAAAACAATTCTCTATTTTTCTTAGTCACATCAGGCTTCAAAAGAGCATAGCAGTCTCATGTACTAAATAAAGATATGTAAGGCATGGGTAAGGAGTCAATTACGTTGAGCATGGAATTAACTAAAAATCAAAGTCACGAGTTCGAATGTTTTGAGGATAATTATTCACTGACTATCAGCACGCAGGGATGTCGGATTAACACAAGGAAGTTGTTAAAGCTCTGTAAAGATAGCCTTTACAGAGCTTTAAAACACAGCATCTGCCAACACAAACTTGACTTGAACTTTGAGTAAAACTAAACAGCCTCTACCAATAATAACAAACTGTCACTTGAACTTCGGATATCTTGCGGCTTCCGCGAACTTGTAAACACAGAACCTGAAAATCGACCTTCGTCACACTTGACTAAACACAGCAGTCCAGCTCGTGGGAAAAAACTTAGTTCGTCAAAAGAACTCGCTTGGAACTTGTATACCGTTTGACGTAAAGTTCTAGAAAATACCAAACAGGCGAATAGTAGTAGCTTTTCGACATATTTTATGATTTCGGTAACTGATGCAAATCTGCTGAGTCATGCTGAAATGTAAACATGCCCTAATTAATTATTCATGGATAATCCAAAAACGTAGAGAACGTTCGAGAAAGTCACGCAACGCATGAAAGCAATTTTACTACGTAACACTCAACAAAGACAAAATAAAATGTCTTTTTGCAGCATTTTGTAACTTTAAATTCATCATAAAACAGTTAGAAAGGAGGGCTCACTCGTGAAATGTTTTTACTCGAAGAGAAATTTTGCGTCTCTGCGCGGCCATGAAATATCCTCTATTTATTCCTCGAGTAATTAAAGACTAAACTCGAAGTGATCTCAAGATATCACGAAGTAGTCCGGTCTCATTTCGTGAAATAGTTGAAACAAGCCGAAAAGTCACGAACTTGCACGCCCAATCTTGTCCCGAAACTAGTACATCATTTCATAACTATTTTTCATATCCCAAATAGGCCATTTTCACGATGACGACATTTGACTACAACTACCAGAATTCATTTCGTTTTTGCTTTGTTATTGAAATTTGTCAATCCCGCTGAGGATTAAAGAACAATAGTCCTAATTTGCACAAGAAAACAACAAACTGAAGGATTCTGGTAGTTGTAGTAAAATGATGTCATCGTGCAATTGTCCTATTACCTTGGGTCGCAGTGGCGCAATCGGCTAATCCCTCAACTTAGAATCTCCTCTGATCTGACGGGTCACACAGGTCAGTCGGTTCAAACCCTGGGAAAGCCAAAATAATAATTCTTTCTTCCTTGAAAAAGTTAAAGAATAAATAAAAAAAATCGAAGAGATCTCGAGATATCTCGAATTAATTCGGCTCTCGCTTCGTCAAAAAGTCGAATAAAACCGAAAACCTACAGACTTTGCATGCCCAATCTTGTCAAAAAATTATAACTTTGATACATTCCTGAGCGTCGCGAAACCTTTACTTCGCGCTCCGCCGAAGTAACAAGGTCTAGTATCTTGGAAGGGATATAGCGACGACTTTAATTCTTGGATTCCATTAAAGAGTTTAAAAGATTTATCTACCTAATATATAATTAACAATTAGTCCATGAGGGCGCGTTGGATATGAGATGGTAGATAGCCAACGAGGCGCGTAGAATAAAGAAAAGAAAAGAAAAAGAATTTTTAAGTGACAGCCGTCGAAATTACTGTGAATTTTGATTTTCGGTGCAGTTACAGAAGTAAGAACAACGGAGAAAAACTATTACCTCGGTCGCTTGTTATGAAGTTGTTTGAAGCCACCAGCTAGTTTTGCTATACTGACGCCTCGATTGCTGTGGTGAATGGTTGCGTAGCCTGTATTTGTAGCTGGTTGCTTGTGATTTATATTCTTCATGTCGGATAAACAAGCCGCAGTTATCTATCAGTAGTATAGGAGGGACCGAATTAACCTCTTTTTTGCGGAGGATTCTCATTAGAGTGTGGAGGAATACATTAACGCCAATGACGTCATAACCTATTGTCTTGAACTCATGAATAAAATGCGCAGGAATCTCATTAGCGTGAGCAGGAATAAATTAACGTCGCTGACGTCATAGGTTATTGTATTGATCTCATGAATAAAATGCGGTGGATTCTCATCAATTTGCGGTAGAATAAATTAACGCCAATGACGTCATAGGCTATTGTCTTGATCTCATGAATAAAATGCTGTGGTATCTCATAAAGATAAGGTCATGTGGTATTTTTAGTTGGTTTAGGATTTTTAGTTACTTTAAGGTCGATAAACGTCTTCGTTTTCGATTGGTTAGTTAGAAAATAAGAAGCGTTTTTATTGTTTAATTCATACTGTCTGAGGAGTAAAGTCAAACTTGTCTGTGACTTAAAATCACTGAGACGTAACGTAATTATGCACTTCCTATTTCCTGCTGCTGTGATTGTCCTTGTTCCGGTTCACTGATTTTTGGCGGGCAAATCGTGTATATTAATGAGGGCAAAGACAAACTAGCTCTTGTCCTATTTCCTGCTGCTGTGATTGTCCTAGTTCCGGTTCACTGATTTTTGGCGGGCAAATCGTGCATATTAATGACGGCAAAGACAAACTAGCTCTTTTTAGCACGAAATACAATGTTTTACTTACCCCACACCCCTCATATTCTTCCTCAATTGATTTATTTTCCCTTTTTTTGATTTTACTCTTTATTTTTAATTTCCATCCACGACCACATCTACCGTACATCGACCCCACATCGACCCTACATGGACCCCACACTGACCCTACCCCCACCTTTTTTTTTTTCCACCACTACATTTTTATTGTTTTCCCTCCTCCTCCTCCTCATTTTTATTGCTTTCCCTCCTCCTCCTCATTTCTATTGTTTTTCCTCCACCACCACATTTCTATTGTTTTCCTTCCACCACCACCACCACCGCCACCACATTTCTATTGTTTTCCCTCCACCACCACCACCACATTTTTATTGTTTTCCCTCCACCACCACCACCACCGCCACCACATTTCTATTGTTGTCCCTCCACCACCACCACCGCCACCACATTTCTATTGTTTTCCCACCACCACCACCGCCACCACATTTCAATTGTTTTCCCTCCTCCTCCTCCTCCTCATTTTTGTTTTCCCTCCTCCTCCTCATTTTTATTGTTTTCCCTCCTCCTCCTCCTCCTCCTCCTCCTGTACTCCTACTTTACCCCTCCTGTACCCTTCCTGTACCCCTCCTGTACCCTCCTGTACCCCTCCTGTACCCTTCCTGTACCCTTCCTGTACCCCTCCTGTACCCCTACTGTACCCTTCCTGTACCCTTCCTGTACCCCTACTGTACCCCTCCTGTACCCCTCCTGTACCCCTCCTGTACCCCTACTGTACCAAAACAAAATTGAGGAGGAGGAGGAGGGAAAACAATTGAAATGTGGTGGCGGTGGTGGTGGTGGAGGGAAAACAATAGAAATGTGGTGGTGGTGGAGGGAAAACAATAGAAATGGGGTGGCGGTGGTGGTGGTGGTGGTGGAGGGAAAACAATAGAAATGAGGAGGAGGAAGGAAAGCAATAAAAATGAGGAGGAGGAGGAGGGAAAACAATAAAAATGTGGTGGTGGAAAAAAAAAAAGGTGGGGGTAGGGTCAGTGTGGGGTCCATGTAGGGTCGATGTGTGGTCGATGGATGAAAATTAAAAATAAAGAGTAAATCAAAAAAAGGGAAAATAAATCAATTGAGGAAGAATAAGAGGGGTGTGGGGTAAGTAAAACATTGTATTTCGTGCTAAAAAGAGCTAGTTTGTCTTTGCCGTCATTAATATGCACGATTTGCCCGCCAAAAATCAGTGAACCGGAACTAGGACAAGAGCTAGTTTGTCTTTGCCCTCATTAATATACACGATTTGCCCGCCAAAAATCAGTGAACCGGAACAAGGACAATCACAGCAGCAGGAAATAGGAAGTGCATAATTACGTTACGTCTCAGTGATTTTAAGTCACAGACAAGTTTGACTTTACTCCTCAGACAGTATGAATTAAACAATAAAAACGTTTCTTATTTTCTAACTAACCAATCGAAAACGAAGACGTTTATCGACCTTATAGTAACTAAAAATACCACATGACCTTATCTTTATGAGATACCACAGCATTTTATTCATGAGATCAAGACAATAGCCTATGACGTCATTGGCGTTAATTTATTCTACCGCAAATTGATGAGAATCCACCGCATTTTATTCATGAGATTAATACAATAACCTATGACGTCAGTGACGTTAATTTATTCCTGCTCAACGCTAATGAGATTCCTGAGCATTTTATTCATGAGTTCAAGACAATAGGTTATGACGTCATTGGCGTTAATGTATTCCTCCGCACTCTAATGAGAATCCTCCGCAAAAAAGAGGTTAATTCGGTCCCTCCTATACTACTTCTATCGGCAAGTGGCTTCGCAATCGTGAAGAAACAACACTTGTCTTCTTTCGTAACTGGTCAAGGAACTTTAGTTCCATCATGTGTTTTTCCATAAACTTTCAAACAGGCTCTTGTGGCTTTTTTGTTTGTTTGTTTTTTCACCGATAAAATTGCATTTTCTAGCATTCTAAGAAATCAATTAAAACGATTTGCTTCGGGCGCCATTCTATCCTCCGCGAAAGAAAATCTCAGTTAGCTTCCAATTTTAAACTGACGCGTACACCGACCATATATGGAGAGCATAGTATAATTGTAATGAAATCAGTACATTAACAGTAAATTATGTACGTGTAATTAGTCATCATTATGTACGTCACTAATCAGATATTCTAAGCCTTGGCTGAATGGAATAAACACAAGATCATACACAGATCAGTCTGATTGATATCTCTCTCATAATGGCTCATATACCATAATGGCTAAGCCAATCAAAACGCTAGAATTGCATTATCAAATGATTCAGTTTTTAATGATGACTGATAGAATACCAGTGTTACGGACTTGTATAGCGTTACAGCGTGACATCGGGTCACGTGAAACTTGACGTTTGCAATCAGGTGACTTAAGCGTTTTCGCTTTTTTCTTGTTCTGAAATAAATCTCTCTCTGTGTGGTTGATATTTATCGAGGTGGAACCTTAAGATCCTTTGAATTCTTCGAAATCAGCGATTAACACCCTATAAAGCATTACCTTCTCTTACATGGTCACTACGAACCGGATTATTCTGTTGGTGATAGTTCTTGTTGTGTTAATCCTTGGAACGGACAATTCTTGTTTAAAAACACGTGATGTGATTTTTCATTCGTCAACGAGTTGTTTATTTTAAAAGTGCATGTGATGCCACCCAAAGTGAAAGCCATTTCAAGGAAAAAAGCTGCGCGTGAAGGGCACAGAACAACCGTCAAACGTATTGCTTACGCCGTCAGTGAACAAGTGGATGGCTCGTGGAGCGACGTTAGCGTGGACGAGAACAAACAAGCGCTTGCCCTACTCGTGTCAAAGCTTCACCAGCAAAGGCAATCCCTGCACGTCAAATTGGAAACCCTAAACGTTGTGGACGAAGAAATCTTGTCAATCGTGGAAGAAGAGGAAATGGAAGACGAAATTCGGGAAGCAGATCTCGTAAATGAATTAATTTAGCTCACCATCACTAGAATTGATAATCTTCTTGAAAATATGAAGACCCCCGCGAAGACCGTGGCCGCATCAAAGGACAAGACACCAGTAAGCCCTTCTAAAGTTGTTACTAGTGACTTCTTACCGTCAAATGACTCTGTTGAATCTCCGGTAAGCCTTTCTGTATCTGCTGGAAGTGTTGAACCCTCGAATAATCTTGTTGAATCTCCGAGTCCAACACCAATTTTAAGCTTACCTACTCAAGAAACAGTCCCTCGAGTTAAATTACCTAAACTGGACTTGAGAAAATTTGATGGAGAAGTTAGTACATGGCCCACCTTCTGGGATTCCTTCGAGTCCTCTATTCATAAGAATCCTACATTGGCTCCTATTGACAAGTTCAATTATTTAAACTCACTCCTTATGAAACCAGCTCTTGATGCCATTTCTGGCCTGTCTCTCACTGCATCAAATTATGAAGAAGCAGTTGCGATCCTTAAGAAGAGATTTGGAAACAAGCAACAAATTATCAATCGCCACATGGATATTCTTCTTAATGTTAGCCCTATGACTAATCAAGACACAAGAAAGCTAAGGGAACTATATGACACTTAAGAGTCTCATGTAAGAACCCATTATTCACTAGTTATCGTTTTAAGCTCCTATGGAAGTTTACTCTCATCAATTATTATGAACAAGCTGCCTCAAGAGCTACGATTGATTATTAGTAGAGAAATAAAGGATCAAGATTGGCAGCTAGATAATATTATGCATTCATTGGAGGACGAGTTAAAAGCCAGAGAGCGTGCAGTCCCTCATGATGAGTGTCAGATATCAGATGGAATTCAAGGATTCTCAAAGGCTCAGACGCGGTCAACTACGTCTGCTTTATTTGCAGGACATTCAGGACCCACTTGTACATAATTATTGTAAACAGAGCGATCCTTCTAACTCCTGCAAAATTGTGACCAAAATTGTGCTGGTCGAAAGGATCTTCTCATTAAGCAAGGAAGATGTTTTGTTTGCCTCAGGAAAGATCATCTCAGCAGAAATTGTCCTTCAAAGAATCAATGTTTCAAGTGTAAGGGCCGACATCATATCAGCATTTGCCCATCTGATGGCAGCAATGAAGGTAGTGTCCACAATAGTACCAATGTTTCAAGAACACCGAGTCAAGAACAGCCTCAGAATCAGCGCGGGAACAATGATGAAGGTACCCCCAGACCTGGCGTAAATTCCTTTAGAGCTGCATCCAGACAGGAACAGAACCAGAAACAACCAAAGACCTTAAAACAGAACCTCACAGCCCTGTATGTCAGCGCCGCTACTCCAGTCCTACTTCAAACAGCCAAAGCATTGACATACAAGCCTGGCAATTCAGCAGTCACAGTGAAGGCTCGTTTTATCTTAGATAGTGGAAGCCAACGAACCTATGTGAGCACAAGGCTAAGAGAGCGTCTAAGGTTACTTACTGAGAACACTGAAAGAATATCCATCAAAACCTTTGGTTCGACAAATGAGAATAGTCAGTGTGTGGATGTTGTCCGATTCTGTGTCGCCACTGAGCAAGGAGAAGATGCAGAACTGTCAGCCTTTGTCGTTCCCACTATATGCGATCCTCTTCAAAGTCAATCTGTTGTACAAGCTGGCCTCACCTACGCTCATTTAAAGGGACTTAAACTTGCTGACTACCATACGGGTGAAGACAATATTGACCCTGATATTCTTGTTGGGTCCGATCAGTATTGGAGTCTAGTATCTGGCGGGGTGGTACGAGGAGAGCATGGCCCCACTGCAATTGAAACAAAACTTGGATGGGTTTTGTCAGGTCCAATCCCAGAAGGAACACAAGTTAATAGGCAGCAAAGTAATCTTGTCACAACACATGTAGTGAAGAGTGTAGTAAAACCTGTTGATGTCTCAAATGAGACCCTTGATGGAACTCTAAAGACATTCTGGGAACTATAATCACTTGGCATTAAACCAAGGATGCTGTATGAAGAATTTCAAAAGAAGATATCCTTTACGAATGAGAGGTATGAAGTCCACCTTCCCTGGAAAACGCCGCATCCGCTTCTTCCAGACAACTACCAGTACCAGTTTAGTAGGAAACGTCTAGAGAACGTTCTTGAACGTCTTCGCCACGACCCTGAAGTCCTTAGAGAATATGACTGTGTCATAAAGGAACAGCTACATAGAGGCATAGTTGAAGTTGTAGAAAAGCCTAGCGAAGGAGAAGTTGGTAGGGTCCACTACATACCGCATCATGCAGTCATAAGAAGGGACAAGTTAACAACCAAGCTTAGAGTCGTTTTTGATGCTTCTGCAAAATCTGATGGTGTAGCCTTGAACGATTGTCTGTATGCAGGACCACCCCTTGCTGAGAACATTATTTGATGTACTTTTGAGATTTCGTGTTAACCAAGTGGCTTTGACCAGTGATATCGAAAAGGCATTTCTGATGGTGGGCATGGCAGAAGAAGATAGAGACGTGTTAAGATTCCTATGGGTGGATGCTATTGACAAACCTTCTCCAGAAATTGTGGTTCTAAGGTTTACACGTGTTGTCTTTGGAGTCTCATCTAGTCCTTTTCTGTTAAATGCCACAATCAAGCATCACATCGAAAGGTACAAAGAAACGAATCCTGAATTCGTAGAGAAATTTCTTCGCTCGATTTATGTGGATGACCTAAGTTCTGGAGCCCCTGAGACTAATACAGGCTATGAACTTTATCTGAAGTCCGAACTCAGGCTTGCCGAAGGAGGATTCAGCCTAAGGAAGTTTGTAGCAAATTGCCCTGAACTAACAAACACAATTCAATGTAATGAATCCAGAAACTCTGATGCCGGTACATCCAGTAAGGCTGCTAAGCCCAAGTGTGTACAGTCCCCTCGAGCCTATCCAGAAAGGAATGTTGTTTCTGAAGACAAAACTTACGTCAAGAAGATGCTTGACACAATAGAAGAGAAAAACAGCTGAGACTCAAAGGTCCTTGGAGTACACTGGAACCCCATGAAAGATGCATTGATATTTGATTTGACCGAGATAGCGAACTTTGCAAGAGACCTTGAACCCACCAAGAGAAATGTTGGTGGTGTTGCCGCAAAGTTTTATGACCCTTTTGGATTTCTTTCACCAGTTGGTATAGAGTTTAAGTTGTTCTTCCAAGAACTTTGCCGAATAAAAATTGGTTGGGATGATCCCTTGAATGATGAATTGTTGAAGATGTGGCGCAAGCTGTTGGATGGGTTAGAAGGTGTAACAGCGCTTTCACTATTAAGATGCTTCCAAGGAGTGCAAGAGAGAGTTGTCAGTTGTAGCCTTCATGGATTTGTTGACGCATATAGTAAGGCCTATGCAACAGTGATCTACGTGCACGTGACTACCACCACAGGAAGCTATGTCAAGTTTGTTGCATCCAAGTCCAGAGTTGCCCCTGCGAAAGAATTATCCATTCCAAGATTAGAGCTTCTTGCCGCTCTAGTACTAGCCAGGCTGATTGAGCATGTTAACGAGGCCTTGCAACTAGAATTGGCAATTACAGATATAACTTGCTGGATTGATTCTAAAGTAACATTATTTTGGATCAAAGGCGAAGAAAAAGAGTGGAAGCAATATGTCCAAAATCGGGTCAATTAGATCAGGAGCCTTGTAACAGTGAGTAGTTGGCGACACCGTAACGGAAAGTGTAACTCAGCCGATATTCCCTCAAGAGGATTGAATCCTGTAGAAATCTCAAAGTGTGCCTTGTGGATGAAGGGCCCCATGTGGTTAACTAAGTTTATGGAAAACAGTGAGAGCGTGTTTGACAGCACACATATGTACCTGAAGAATGTTTTGCAGAAATCAGAGCTGAGGAAAGAGCAAAGTGCCTAAAAGAAGCCTCATCCGTTATGCCTGCAGCAGTTGAACCCTGCGGTATAGCACAGATCGTGAGAGCAGAAGACTATAGCAACCTGCAGAGACTCATAAGAGTTACTGTCCTAGTTCTAAAGCTTGTGAGAATCATGAAGTTATTGCTGAAAAGGGACACCCTTTCACAAGACGAGTCGACCGATCAAGATATTGCCGTTGCAGAAACCCTTTGGATTAAGGAAATACAGACGTCCTTAAGCAAGAATCCTAAGGTCGATATTTGGAAGAAGCAGTTTGGCATCTTCACCGATCATCAAGGCATTATGAGATGCACTGGACGCTTAGCCAAGGCAGAGTTACCAACTTCACTCAAGCACCCCATTTTGTTGGAGAAAGACCACCACATCACATCCTTAATTTTCGTTGACAGCCATAAACGAGTTATGCATGGTGGTGTGAAGTCCACTGTGACAGAACTAAGAGGAAGATTTTGGATCGTACAGGGCAGACAGTTTGTTAGAAAGTTACTGTACAGGTGTGTGATTTACCGGAAACTTGAAGAAAGGCCATATCAAGCTCCACCACCCCCGCCCCTCCCAGAATTAAGAGTAAAGGAATACTCACCATTTACCTATAGTGGAGTTGATTTTGCGGGACCTCTCTAAGTGAAAAATCATTCTGGCCCTCAGCAGAAAGTATGGATCTGCCTCTACACTTGTTGTATTACCAGAGCTATTTGTTTGGATCTCGTACCCAGCCTCACAGCCTCCCCATTCATGAGGAGTCTCAGAAGAGTTTCTGCCCGTCGTAGCACTCCACTGTTGATGGTGTCTGATAATGGGAAAACCTTCGAAGTCAGCAGCGCGAGAAATCACGAAACTGATGAATGAACCGGGAGTAAAACAATACTTTGCCAATGCACGGATGAAGTGGACGTTCAACCTTGAAAAGGCCCCTTGGTGGGGTAGCATATTCGAAAGACTTGTGAGATCTATTAAGAGATGTCTGAAGAAGACTATCGCCGGTGCAACCCTTACCTATGAAGAATTGCATACAGTAGTCGTGGAAGGGGAAATGATACTGAACTGCAGGCCTCTGTCCTACGTGTCAGGTAAGGATACTTAAGAAACCCTTACCCCGTCGCATCTCATATGTAGGCAACGCCTAATGAGCCTTCCAGACAGCAACACCAGCGACACTCCAGATTATGACGTTGATGTTCAGCCACAGGATCTAAGCAGAAGAATGCAGCCCCTGAGCAACGTTCTGAACCATTTTTGGAACAGATGGAGAAACGAGTACCTGATCGAGCTGCGAAATACCCATCGTTACCTTAATCAGAATGACACTATCAGAACTGTATCTGTTGGAGACGTAGTTGTTTTGCAGGAAGAAGATCAGCCCAGAGGAAAATGGCGTATTGGCAAGATTTTAGATGTCATCGTTGGATCTGACGGTTGCACCAGGGGAGCTTTGGTCCAAGTCCGAAGCAAAGGAGGAAAATGCACGAAACTCAGGCGCCCAGTGCAGCGGCTTTACCCTTTAGTGATCCAGTGCGAAGTTCCTGTCTAAGAAACAACCGAAGCAAGCTCAAGCCGGAATCCTGATCCAGTTAGCACTGAAGTGAGAACTGAGCAACCAGTGTCTACACGGAGCTGCCCAAGAAGAGCAGCAGCCTTTGAGGTCGACCGAAGAAGGAAGACCTGGCTGGAGGATCTGACTTAATGAACTTTGAACTTTGCTACGAATTATCGTTGAGTTTAGGTGTCTGAATAGTATGTAAGGGTTGTCGACCAGGTAGAATTAGGTAGCCAAATAATAATCTGGTCAACAGGGGGGAGTGTTATGGACTTGTATAGCGTTACAACCTGACATCGGGTCACGTGAAACTTGATGTTTGCAATCATGTAACTTTAGAGTTTTCGCTTTTTTCTGTTCGGAAATAAATCTCTCTGTGTGTGGTTGATATTTATCGATCTGGAACCTTAAGATCCTTTGAATTCTTCGAAACCAGCGATTAACGCCCTATAAAGCGTTATCTTCTCTTACAATTATATTCCGAAATGTGTTGAAAACTGTATTCAGATATTTGCAATAAAGAAGATGAACTCGATGAGCTATATGGTAAATTCCATGAAGCTGAGGCAGATCTTGCTACAGTGAGGCATAAACGATCTCTAATGAAAATATATTTGAAAACGTTGAAAGAAATGGCTGACAACATAAGTCTGCTTGTAAGCTTTGGTGGAGCATATTGAGGGGAAATACAATATGGGCGCGTCAGCGCCCATAAGGAGAGCCCAAGGTGCGACATGCTAGCGGGGTGCGGGGACATGACCTTCCGGAAAGTTCTGAAAATTCAAGTACTGTGAGATGTAATCTGGCGCTTAAATTAAATTGGCGAGGTGATCGACTAAAGGAAATATAGATGGCCGATGTACCGGCTCTTTGCCAGTACATCTCTTTTTAAATAATATATATCATACCTTGCAAATCACTTGTAAGCCCGTGCTTATTTGCTTAAAGGCAGGTACGCCCCTGTTATATATACTGTAGTAATGGCAATGATGGAAAAAGCATTCAAGAATAATGAATTGGAAATTGAGTTGACTTCATATATTGATACCAAACAGAATATCTGGTTCAAGAGAAAAGATGTTGCTAAAATTTTGGATATTTTGATACAGACGAAGCTTTGAGAGAAAATATTTCTGAAAAATACCAAAAAAGCTATCCCGACTGCCAGACGGGTCAGGTGAGAAATAGGATTTTTATATCAGAACCAGGGTTTTATAAATTAATTTTTGCATCAAAGGTTGAAGCTGCTAAAAAATTCTGAGACTGGGTATTTTCAACAGTACTCCCATCAATCATAAAATATGGGGAGTATAAACTGTTTGATAACCCAAATAACCGGATGTTCAAAATAGAAAATGAAGCCGATCTTCACTATAAAGTTGTGCAGTATATCAGACGATTCTATCCTGAGGCCATCATGATTGCTGGACTGGGTGAAAACCAAAAAGACAGCTCTGAAAAGAGTATCAAATCATGGAGAAAAGGTTATATGAAAGGCCAGCCGGATATTATCATCATGAATAATCATAAGGAGTACAACTGAATATGTATTGAATTCAAGAGCCGCACAAATAATTACAAAATTAGTGAAGCTCAGCTGGAGATAAAGAAACGGTACAAACAAAACGGATATAGAATCCTAATATCCAATGATTATGATGAGATTATCGCCTTTCTAAATAAACACATGTGGGGAGTCAGAATTCCATTCAGATACTGCTCCAATCAGTTCCGGTCAAAGGAAACATATCAAACGCGTATTAGAAGTTTCCATAAAAGATAAATATGATTTTATTTACAAATTTTATTATGAGAATATTTGCTTCCATTTGTAATGGTTTAATGACACCTTGAAGGCAGGGTTGTCATTAAGAGCCGGGGGCGGGGATTTTCCCCGGCTACTAAGAGAGTGGCCCCCGGCTACTTTTATTGGAAAATAGAACAAAAATAGAACCAAAAGAAATCCCTAGCCGTTTGATTCCCCGCCTACTTGTTGTATTTACCCGGCAACTTGAAATCATAGTGACAACCCTGCCTTGGACAAATGTATTTTTTTCCTTTTTGCCATATTTTAAGCATTTCCATTTGGTGTCTCTTTTTAGCGGGGCTCCCACGCGCGCGACAGAGCCCCATACTCATGGAATATGGTCAACGTCTTTTCGTTTGGTTGTCACGTGATTGACCGAGCGTACGTACGTACGCGTCTACAGATTGTAAGGGTGGGGTAGGGAAGACTATCAAAAGGGAGGGAGGGGTGTCTTGGCAAGTCCACATCTTGTATATTGGACATTTACAAAATGGTCAATTGACAGCTGTCAAAACAGGATAGCCACTGACCAGTATCACATGAACATATCGCGGGCTCATGTGTCAACTCATCGAGGTGACGTTATTTACGTAGAAGCTGTCCGCTGACCAGTTTTACTAGATCGCGATGAATGTTCAATCATACTTTCTAGCTAGTTTGAGAGCACAGGAAAACTGATAATGCACACATATTGGACATCAATGTTGTGATCAATTGATAGCTGTCAAAACAGGGTATCCGCTGACCAGTATCACTTGATCAGATCGCGGGCTCAGGTGTGAAGTATTTTTTGGACGTTATCCACTGACAAGTCACTAGTTTTCCAATGATCGCAGGCTCAAATTTAATTTTTTTTAAATTCATATGAAATATGTCGTGTATTTCTGCCGCACAATTAAAATGTTGATTTCAAACTGACCTCGGACGCGAAAATTCAGCCAGCTATTACAGGCAGGGAAGACAGTTGCTTTTGACTTTGCTCACCATAATCACGCTTTGGTCACGCTCTTCGCCCAATGTTTATGCTGTGATTGATCAAAATTTGACAGGTGAGTTCATGCGGAAAATTTATGCAGCATATTGAATCTTGTTTACTTTGACAGCTGAAGCTGACAGATTTTTGTGTCAGCTTGTGATGTTTTTTACTGTCTTTTTACACTGGATTTACAAATGAAATTCAGCTGCCATCAGGAGTCTTCTGTTATTTATGGCTAGTTCGTTTCTATTGGGTTTTTGGTTGAGAAATACGTCACTTGTCAAAGTCGGAAATCCGATTTCGGATGGCGTCGTTTTCGTTTTTCATAGCCTGCGTGACAGGCGCAAAAAGGGGAGGGGGAGGGGGGAGGGAGAAAGGGAAAAGGGAAGGGAGCGCCTGCTCTAAGAGCCTATGTTTTTGCATAACGCCTACCAATTTTCTAGTAATCGGATTACGCTTACTGTCAATCAAGTGTCGCTACACTCGCCATTGCAGAAAAACATTACACTCACGGACTAAAGAAATTCGCTTAGTTATTCAGATCCAGAAGGCACTTTGGAGAAAATTGGAACCCTTATTCAGCCGTAATAAAAAAAGCTTTACGCTTCAAAAGAGGTCAAAGAAATTGCGCTTGCATCAGAGGGCAAATCCTGCCGACCAGAAAACAATAACTACAGTCAATCGATATGTATGTCATGACCTCTCAGTGTGAAACATGCGGCTAAAATAACATTTGCTCAGTATAAATGCAGAACCTTCCAGAGCATAATCTACCCAGCAGATAAAAACAACTTTATTGGAATAAGCAGCATTTTGGCATGAGGTAAAACCACCCTCTTTTATTGTTAAGTTTCATCGGCGAATGTCATCGTTCGATAAATTGGCTAAATCTTTCGCTTGGTAGCCCAACAATTCCATCTCCTGCAACTGGTCTTCGATAATACTTTTCAGTGGCGAAATGACGAGAATCGCGGCATTACCAATTAGCTCGTAGTTCTTCGCGCGTACAAACATTTGGTAAATTAAACTCTTGCCGTATCCGGTCTGCAAAACCGCCAGAACATCTCTGTCGGAGCCCTTACTGCTGATTCTTGCTCTGGTTTTAAAACAGTTTCTCTACCACTAGATAAATTCACATCTCTCAAAGCACTCTCTACGACATCCACGTCTACCGCTGCCATCTCGACTGTTTGTTGATTTGTGAAACGCGCATTTCAATATGTTACTCATTACGGCTCAGCCAATCAGGAATTTGCGGACGCTCTTAGAGCAGGCGTCCCGCCCCTCTCCCCAATCTCCCTCCCCTTTTCCCTTCCTCCCTATCCCCTACCCCCTACCCCTTTCGACGCCTGGTACGCAGGCTAGTTTTTCACCTTGCTTGATGCGTAAGAGGGTTGCAAAGTCTGAAGCGATACTGGCCTTACTTGATACCTTTCAGAGCTGCATCTCGAATGGTACGCCAGAGTAATTATTGTATTTCATGTGTGTTTTTTTTATATCTAATTTAACGACGTCGAGCGTAGTTTATGCGGCTATTTAGTTTATGCACGTTGTAAGATTTGAGACAATGATCTGACCGAGTATCAGTTTTGATATAAGCTTACAGAATTTTAAAAAGCCTTCCGACATTTTCTCACCGCAAATAGAAAGAAAACGTTCCAAATAATATTTAGTTATAATTCTGGCTGTAAAAGAAAGCTTTGAGCGATTTTCTTGCCTCGAGTTCATCTTTGAAAAGACGCAGACATCGGGAAGCCGGCTTAAAACATAAACTTAAGCTTTAAGCTTGAAGACTCAGGATTTTTAGAGACACTTTAATACTTGTCTTCGTGAACGAAAATTGTTGTCTCCCCGGTCGGTATATGTTTCACCGAATTATATTGCTTTTATTGATTGTTAGTAGTTTCTCTTGTAATTTTAGTCGTTCAGTGAACATCGCTTGCAGGAGGTACTCAAAATGCCGCGCGTATCAAACGCTATTGAAGATTACAGATCGATAAAACCATTAAATAAAAAATAACCGTAATAAATTCTTTATTATGTTGAAGCGTAACTCTGTTAATGTTCATTCAAACACTACCACAGCTCGCTCTGCAAAAGTGAGAACCGGCTGGCCATATATACTAGGTGATTTTGGAAATTTTTTCAACTGTTTAGCTAAAACCCCACGCGTGCTTCGATCGATCGTCCTGAACACTGCTGAATATTGAGTGAGTGCACTTTGTATTGCAAAATTGTGAAATACTGCATTCTGCCCGAGGTCTGTATGATAAAAACAGCCCCTCATAGTACTGTTTCACCTCAGATGTGATGTTTAAATGGTATAAAAGGCTGGTTTACACGCACCCAAAATTCGGCCTGAGTTTTTTCCTGGCCTAATTAATGTACGGTGATCAAGAGCCATTATGGCTCTTAAATGTGATCGAAGATTATCGCTATTTTGGGGGTGTACATATGAGGCTATCTTGAGCTATCTTGGGCTGTTTGCAAATTGTTTTTCTCTAAAATCACTTAGCCTTTCCCTCAAAAGTCACATGAATGTGCTCTAACGTTAACTGAATTGTGGAATACAAGTTTATTGTTTGATTTAAATTATAAATTTATTAATGGGAGCCTCGCTTTTAGCCGTGGCTAAATCTATATATTATACTTATCAGCCACGCTTCTTGGGCGCTTATTGGCTGATTTTTTATAATCATCAGTTATATCTTCCTTCTGTATATACTCAAATTTATATTGATGAGCATCTTTTTTAGAAATGCCAGTTTTACAATTATTGATCCCTTCAACAGACCATCTTAACAATACAGTATTGATGCTAAGACGCTGCTGTACGGCATACATACTATTAAAGTAGACCACTCCTTGTGTAGTCTGATTGATTGCTTTCACGCACCTCCTATTTTGAAAATTATTAGCTGCAAATGTATAATCACGTTTTCTGGCTGATTTCTTGCAGTTTGCTCGTTGAGTTACAATCTGCAAATTGTATAAACGATTATCTTCCTTGTCCTCATTGAAATGCTCAATAACTTTACCATCAGGTATAACACCGTTCAAGCATTCCCAAACAAAGCGATGAACACGATATGTTTTAGAATTTTTATCCCCATATTTTCTTATTGTAAAAGCCATATAGCCGTTATGATTTGTATTTCCAGCATTCTGAACTTGTTTAATAATATGAATTATCTGACCATCTTTGGAAGCTGCATACATATTAAAGATGGGATGAATTTTATAAACACACTCATTAATAACTAAATTCCTTGTTTCGCTATCTGATTGATTGGAAATATGGCCATTAGCTTCTTTCCACTCATTAAAATCAGAAATAGGGCCATTTTTTAAAAAAGAAAAACCGACGAGTCTGTCGTTAGAATAGAAGGTAACTTTTTCATATTTTAGATAAGCTCACTTTTTCAGCAATAATATAAAGCCGTAAACAAATAACTGAAAAGAAACGCAATAAACTTCATTCAAACGGTATTCAGCTGTGTTCAGAGCACGAGTTATGGAAAAAGCACACTGAAAAATTCTAAAATGGCAAGTAATGAATAACAAAATGAATAGCAGTTCAATGGAACATTTACAAATGCAACACTTCAGTTATAATTCAAGAAAGGTGAGTAGCCCGTCCGAAGTGTTTCTAAAAATCTCACGATCTGTAGTCTCACGATCGTGTTTTGAGCTAATGTTATGAATGAACAATGGCAGATAAATAACTTAAGTTCTTGAAACTTGTTTTAAAAACCCATAAGTTAATCCTAAAAAGCAATTCGTGTAACGCTAACTAGATCGTGGATCCGTTCTCGCAAGTCAAATCAGCTGAGCACATGGCAAAAAATCAATTTCAAATGCACATTTTGTGGTTTTTCTTTCACGCCGATGTCAAAATGTAGAAAACGTCCATGAAGCCTTTATAGATACAAAAATTCCCTTTTAAAAACGTAGTTTTCTTGAGCATAGAGTACAGAATGTAACTCAAGTTCCTTCAGAAACCTCACTGCCTTGGTTGGTACAAAACAAGCCAAGCGCTCCAATCCGCCGTGAAGAATGCGAAGAATTGCTCGAAAGACAATTTCATGGCGAAAACCTTTCGTCTGTCCGCAAAAAGGAAACAGAGCATTCTTTTGAACTTGCTCTTTCGATTTGTGTATTTTATCGGCGTATTTTCAATCTTGAAATGCAAAACTTTGGTCTTGAAAACCACCACATGATGAACGCGCGCCGGCCATTTGTTGATGGATGACATTTACTGAGGTGTCAAATCCATTTCTTCTCCCACCTTCTAAGTGGTTGACCATAAGACTTTTGTGGGGGAGGGGGTATGGATGATTTAGCTCGGTAAGAATTTTTTCCCCGACATATAACGGTGTAAGATTTCTTTTTCAGCATTATTCGTCATGAGCGATATTTTTTTTTCAGTGCAGAATATTATTTTTCCCAGGTATTTCCTTGCAAGCTTTTTTCTCCTCGAAATCCGTCTGCAGGATATTTTTTCCTGAAATCACCCATAACCCCCTCAAAAGTCAAATGGTTGGCCCTTAAAATCCACCAAACATTTGCTCAGTTGACAGATTCTGATTTGTCAATCATTTCCAAAGCCTTTTGAAACAATAGGGAACAAGAGGAAAGGGGAGGAATTCGTTTCTACTTACCCCTACCTGGAGACGTACCGACGTACGGTGACGTCATAACCAAATTTTCTCGGATGGATAGTTCACCAAATTTTCCTAGTTATGGGGCTACGCTCGCGCTCGCGGAGGCGCCGCTCTAATTACGGTCACCCAAGTAGTTTAGCTTTTTAGTTATTTTGGGTGTCCCACGACTGTTTGTATGGTTATACTTATAGTTATATTTCTTGTAAATTCTCTTAGTTGTCTGTCTACAGTATTAAAATAAACTGATGTCTCATGTCTCTTGTAAACGATGAGGCAGCTCATTTAACTAGGCTGGAGCAACACCATGGAGGATCTTGTATGTGACCAGGATAATTTTAAAAATAATTCTTTCTCTCACGGGAGCCAGTCTAAACTTTTTAAAATGGAGTGATGGGAGCAGACGTTTTTGCTCAATTATTTTGCAACAGTTATGTCGTAGGAGGGTAGGCCGTGAAGAATTCTGTTGCAGTAATTGAGTTTTGAAGAAACAAATGCATGATTAGGAAGTTCCTTAACAGATCTGGATAGAAAGTTCCTAATTTTTCCGATGTGGTGAAAAGAATGTCAGGCGAAGCGATGTGTGATTAGCTGCATTTTCAAACCCGTAGATGGAGAAATTATATCAGTTTCAACAAGCTCTAAAGTTACGTGCAAACGGACGCAACAATTCCCAACATTGTTAGGCAGTAATGTTGAGAGTTGTTACGTCCGTTTGCACGTAGCTAAAAGTTTGACCGGTTTCAAACTTTGCGCAACAACTCACAACAACATGCAAAAGGGTGTGCAAGCGGACGCAACATGTAACATCAAACAATATTGGGAGTTGTTGGCCATCGATGTTGCGTCCGTTCGCTCGGGCTTAAGAGTTTTTTGACCAACTTGTTTATCAGTTGCTCAACAAAGTTAAACCAGTGCGGTAGAAGCCCAAAAAGTGGTTACATTCCCCGAAAGTCTATTTAGAGAAGGCGGCGGGGGAGAAGCCTAGTAGAGATATAGCCCTACCACTTTTTCCTTCGGGTTGATTACATCCCGATGGCGCTTCTAAGAATAATTGGATGCCCCCCACTATGGATAGATTTCACTTTTTCTTTGGTTTGCATCTTGGAAAGCGCTATTCTTGTCACGCTGATAATCTAACACTCTTTACGGGATAAAGATGGCTGCTGTAAGAGAAAAACACCTAGCAAATCTAACAATGAAACGCCCACAACAAATACTTTGACCTTTTCAACGCTAATGTTTTCCACGACAATAAAGGACTGGCTGGCCAGTGAACGCTTCCAAGAAAGGAACGCACTCCACACCAGTTCCTCTTCTAAAATACTCGGGAATATGGCATAATTATAGGCAATTTATGTCTCATCTGGAACAGAATGGCTTACTCTGACTTTCCTTGTAACCACTCTACTGAATTAGCAGTTATATACTTAAATGATGGCGACAGAAAACAAGCCTCAAACAGAAATTAAACACTCAGGCTTTGTGTTTATTAACCTATCCAAGGCTTTCTATACAACTCGTCAAGTCACGCTGGACTTCTTAGAAAAACTTCAATTTTAGGAACCGTGGAACCGAACTGGAATCTCAGGCTGTAAAGATTCATTGTAAAGATGCGTTAAAAAAGATGAACAAACACTGCTTGCAGGTAGCAATTAAAGGTAGTCGAGTTGAGCAAATCAACGTACACCTGTGATCATTTTCATCTGATAGCTTTTTTAGTAAAATATCCTGAATACTGTTTTAAAAGTTATTTTTACGACGACTTTCTTTGTTTGTCTAACCTTGAACTTTCAACAAAGTGAGCCCTCTTGAAGATGATTTTGTCACACATGATAACATGTTAGTTTTCTGTGGTTGCCAGCAGATGCCTGAATGAAAACGTGAACAGGCGAACCTTCCGTAAGCGACTACCCAAAATGCAAAGACTGGGTGGTCGCTTACGGGAGGTTGTGGCCTCTTCCAAGAAGAGGTCCAGACACATCTACTTTATGGAAGATTATTTATTGCATGTAATATGTAAGTTACGACATCTGTAGTTCCATGTTGTAACTTAAGTTTTTCATATATTCTAACTAACATAGTGCACACAGCGAACATAGAGATCAGAGAATGCGTCAAGTGGTCGCTTACTAGAGGTAAAAAACAATCGAAAATCATTACCCGTCAGGCCCAAAAAGTAGTCGCGGTCGCTTGCAGGAGGTGGTCGTTTACTAGAGGTTCGAACCGTAAGGCTTTGACTGGGAAAATTTTGGCGTTTTGGATTGGCGGTCGTTTATGGGAGGTGGTCGCTTACGAGAGGTGGTCGCACGTAGAGGTTCGACTGTAATTTCGAGCCCTACATGATGAGGAGAAGGACTTGGTACCGATGATTTTTTTCAGTATTCTTCAAAAATTCTGTCAGAATTTTTTTTGTCTAACAAAAATTTATACTTTAGCAAGCAATAAGGCACTTGAAATTCTGCTTTTACAATAACTTTACCTACATGCATATAGCCTCCTTCTCCGCTAGCAAAAATCTCCTCTGCACAGGTGCACAGACGGTGTACTTTTTTTTTAATTTATCAGGAATTTGAGGAAGAACAAGAAGAAGAAGGAAAGAAGTTCATTCCTGCAGACAGGTGCACTGAATCAGATAAAGTAAATGATCTTAGATCACTACAACGCAAACTTGGAGAAACACTAATCCTTTTCGTGAAAAAACAGAAAGACTCAGAAACCTGGGAGGCACTACATGCAGAAGTTACAAACACAAATGAAACACTTCAACAGGTTTGCTGAATTGTTAATATTTGCTCCTGTTCTACCGTACTAGTTGAAAATCATAGCAAGTCTGGTAGCCATTCGTTATCTGGTCAAAGCCTACATGGTATCAGAATGATAGACGTTTGAAAGGGAGGAAGAAATGGGGAATTAACGCATGATACAACACCGAAGAAGGACTGACAAGAGGAGTAGCCCGATTTCCCCCCTCCCTTTCGATTAAGTGCCACACAGTGTAGCAAATAGTTTTCACTGACGAGTTTTAAAATAAGAAAAAGCCCTTTTTTGTGCTAGCTTTTGTATGCGATCAGCCTGACATATTTAAAAGTAGTGAACTTAGTTTTATTAATACAATAAATGTCATTTTCTTTCCAGGTTGCCTCAAAGTCTGTAAGTGAAATTTGTGGCACAGATTTAAGTGTACAGTTTCTTAACAATGCACCCATTGCGGTAATAAAGAATTACAAGAATAAAGGAAACAAGGTAAGAGTTACACAAAGATTCAGTTATAATCGTTGTTGTTATTAGGGATTTTAAATAGAAGCCTACAGTACGTAAATTGTGTTGTCGATCAAGGCAGGTGTTCAAGAACATTTCGACTTTTTAGCACCCCTCTAAGACAGTTGCGTATTTATTGACGGTCGAGTATTCTTCTGGATAGGTACTTTTTATATCGTATTCGACCATTTGTTTCTGAAATGATTTACATTTACCATTTGCCGTGTAGAGACTACCCCTCACATTTGATTATTGGCTGGGTTGGTCAACATAAGTTAACTTAATTGGCTAATAAACAGGTAGATGATTTAGGCAGCTTACATGGGCTTTCAAAGTATCTTAAGAGCAGTGTTCGCTAAACACAGTTGCAGGCAATTTATGAATAAATGTTCTTGAGAAAAAAGGATACATACTCATAGGACAGGCTAGTTTGAAGCGGGATGAAACTTTCTAAGTGCGAGTGATGTGTCCTGCGCATGACAGGGTGCAAAAGCCCGGGAGAGTTAACAGAGAAGAGCCCCCTTGTGACCATAAAGAGGGATGTGATCCGAATGTCAATCTGACGTTGCTCAAGGGTACGCCATTCTAGGTCCTCAAGCCTGCTGGTGGCGCTATATGTGTTGTTGTATCGGCGCAGGCGCCACTGAGCCGCGCGGCCTGTATCCTTTCGATCTTATATCAACCGTTATTTTCAACGCCTGGGCGGGGGTCCCTACAACTTGAGCCGTACTCGACCTGGGGGCGGACTAAGCCTTTGTAAGCCAAAGCTTATAAAGGCTTTAGTACGCGTGTTAGCGACGACGGGTATACGTCTTCGGTCGCAGGCTTTAAGCGTGTATAAATACACGAAAATTCATGGGCCTCAATTCGAGAGAAATTACATTATTGCCAAAGATCAAAAACGTGTGAACGTGGCGCGTCATTTCAGACATGGCCGAAAATAGACTGCATGCTCATCACAAGATTTGCATACAATGCAGTGAGCCTCATCATCGAAGTTTTGCTAATTAAGATTCTTCTTCCTTTTCTACCACTGAAGTGTTCACTTCTTCCAAAGTAATCAACGCTTTCAAGTGATAGAATTTGTGGAGCGATCTGTTCCGGAAAAGCTCTAAATCGCTTTAATCTTTCCTAAGCCTTCTTCACAAACATGCGTGGCTTCGGTCACACAACGGTTCTTTTACTCCCAGTTTCCACGGTCTCCGCTAGGAACGCCTGGGACCATGACTCCCGTTTGTGTTTGTGTAAAAACGGCGTGTCGATTATGGGTCTCGCTGCTACACAAGCGAGAATAAAAATGGGGGGACTAAAATAATTATACTTCGTTAAACAACAGCCACATTAACAGCCACAAAACTCACACGAACAGGATTTTCTACAAAAAAATCCTCAGATCGATCGATCTTTGCATCATACGGGACGAATCCATTGAATTATTTGGCACCCAAAGACGGTTTCCTCCAAAATACGTTGAAAACACTTTTTAGGCTATCCAGAGTACTTTTGGATCTCTAGAAATGCATTCTAATTGGCGTTAAAAAAAAATTATCTGTTCGGTCATCCTAGGGGAACTTAAGTCTTTTCGAAATTACAAGGGTTTCAGTATTATTTTTCCGAAAATTTTAGGTGCAATTTAACGTTTTACGAAAGTGAGAATTTTTCTGATTCCTCTCTCCATCACATTTTAAAATCCGAAAACTTAGGTTTCCTTTTTCTAAGAAAAATAGTGTAAGCTGGGTTGTAAAATATGAAAAATTAAACTTCAGAAAAGCACAGGGAATTTATAAGATAAGGGACCGTTCATTTTTTTATGAGAGAGGGGGGGGCTGGTGGGATTTGGGGGGGGGCACTCGAAAAAAATTGGCTTGAAAGGGGGGGCCAGCCGAAAAAAAATGAAGGAAAGGGGGGGTCGGACGAAAAAATTAGCGACTGACTCTGAAGACAACTCAAATGATGTCGTTCTTGCTTTTATCTCCTCAGACGAGGAATATGTAGACCAGCGGCCAGCTACAACACGCTCAGGACGAGCAGTAACAAAAAGAGCTGAAATTGACTTTACATTCTTTTGAGTGAGGATTTGTTAAAAACAGCTTTCTAGCTTTCAGCTTTCTTTCACTAAATTGCGTGAAATGTAACAAAACGAAATTTTAATGCAGTAACTTTTTTAATACCTTATGTACTTTTTTATTCATGGGGGGGGCGCTTACCCTGATGAGGGGGGGCCATGCGAAAAAAATCGGAAATTGGGGGGGGGTCATACAATTTTCAAATTACACTCCTCCAAATCCCACCAGCCCCCCCTACCCCATAAAAAATGAACGGTCCCTAAGCTCCGAAAATTGTGCATGAAAGGAACGTTCGTCTAGATATTTTTAGCCGTACTCAAGCAAAAAAAAAATTCTAGTAATATTTGCTTCTTCGAACAGATATTTTACAGAAATCAGTCGCTGGATGCCCCAGCTTTTTTTGCGTCTTTTAGGATTTTTATGCGTCAGGGACGCAAGACGCAGAGGTAACAAAATCACCTCTTATTGTACACATACACTTTGAGACTTCTTTGCGTTAAGTGTGTTTAGTGCCATTCTGTGAAGCAGCTGTTTTGAAAGATATGAACTGAAAGACGCTCGTTTTTAGTAAGCGCTGACAAAGTAAACACGTGGAGAGTTTGCCAGACACGAGTTTATCATTTAAGAGTGATTTTCTGAAAAATTCGAACTTCGGCCTAACACGGTACCCCATCGATTTGGCTAATTTCTGGTATGTAGTATTAGAATGGTGTCCTAAATACTGAATGCATATTCTCTTTGGTTTCAAAGATACAGGAATGACAGTTTTGACGAGGCCTCGAAAAAGAAAATTCTAAAAAAATGATAGTGCCTCTTAAAGCCTATCTATCGCTTAAAAGAGCCTCACTTGAAATGTAAAAACGGTGATCTTTTGCTTCTGATCTTGCGAAAAGCTTGAAATATGCGCGAAAATGAAAATTATAAATTTTGTTACTCACAGTAAAACTGTGAAAGGTTTGAACCCAGAAGTCATTTCAAAAGTAGGTTGAGTTTGATCGTCCGCGTGAACGTAGTCCTGAATAGGACTGTTGTTGTTGACATTTCATGTACTACTTTTATATCTTACGCTGGAAAGATCTGCCAAATGTACATAGAACAGGAACCTACCTTTGCTTCTATGTACATTTGGCAGATCTTTCCAGCGTAAGATATAAAAGTAGTACATGAAATGAAATTAAAGAACTCATCCAGTCAAATTACGTGATCGTACCGTCATTACTGAATAAAAGTCCGAAAAATGTGACATGGAATGGTCAGTGGGAGACGAAGCTATTTTTAGGAGGACAAGGAACTGCACGCTGGAACGGAAGTGAAATTAACAACCTTGTCTAGTTCAGTCCTCTTGACGCTATTTAACAGGTTTCACCCGACTTTGAACAGAAAGTTGTTTTTTATTTTCTTTCTCTTGCTTGCGTTGTTTATTCTGCAGTTCGCCCTATTTTGATTTGTATATAGAAGCCTGTTTAGCAGTTTCCATTACTTTAATGTGTCGTTAACAACACGTGATACATGTTCTGATCTCCCCCCACCCCCATCGATAACAATAAATTTTCAGACCAACACTGAAGGTACGTAGAAAAATATGACCATTCAAGGCAGGGTTCATCATTGTAACTTACCACATAAAAGTCTTTTTGTTGTTTGCTATCGACGGATTCTGTTCTAAATACTGAGGTCCCACAAACAACGCCACGTTTAGAAAGAGCCCGCCCTTTCCCATCCAAGAAAACCCAAGTAGCAATTTCACCAACGGACATAAGCCGTAAAAAAAAGGACCGCGTCAAATAGTTCATAAAATCACAAATGACACCTTTACTTCACTCTTTCTTCAATAAACTTATTTTTTAAGGATAAATGACGTCAGAATGCGCGACTATAAGCATAGTAGGCTTATGAAAAGAAAATTTAACCAATGCACATGAAAGCACCTAAGACGGGGACTAGGGGGAATTAGGAACATCGTGCGTGTCGCTGAAAAAATATCGGCTAGTTCTCTGAATAGACACAATTAAAACCGTTTTTGTTTAGTAAGGAGCTGTTAGATCGGGGGAAAGCGACATAAAGTAGATCACATCAGAAGACGGCACATGACTAGGCTCTCAAAAATCGATAAGTATGCAAGACCAATCATTATGTGAAACAAAGAAAAATTCCTTGAGGGAAAAACTTATGGCTAGGGAAAAGACTCGAAGGTACAAAGTTAGGATTGTAGCTTCTTTTCAGGTAACATTTCCTCAGGCCCGTACATGCGTAAAAAAAATTCATAAAGGTTAACAAAAAACGATCTTCTCCATGACTAAAAAAAATTAATTGACTGGACAGTGCTCTAAAAATAGATGAGCGACGATTATTTTTCGATATATTTAAAAGAAAAGCGATGATGACTCAGCCGTGCTCCCATAAAGACCAAAGAAGCATATATATCACTAAGGCACCAAGCCAAGGGAAAATAGAGCAAAAATGTCCAATTTTTCCCTTGACGAAAGCACTATGTTACCTGTTTGACATGAACGGACCTATGAAATCAAGTGACACAAAAGATCTTTCATTTTTTCCTTTTTTCCAAGCAAATGTACAGTTACCGTAAACGATCGATTAAGCGCCGCTACTCGAATAAACGCCGCAACGGAATAAGCGGCGCAGCCTTTGTTAGACTTGTTACGGCGCTTGATATAAAAAGACATCAAAACGATGTCGCTTGACAAACAAGACCACGACTCAGTCGTGAGTTCTAAAGTTTTAATGTACGGGAACTTTCGAAACCAGGTTCATATAACAGTTCGAGGTGTGCATAGTTGTCCTTTTTCTTGCCGAACTCTGAGTTCTCTCTATATTCCCCTTAGTGTTTTACCCAAAGTTGAAATAAGCGCTCCTCCCTAATAAGCGCCGCACTTTTAACGTGGAAAATGAAATAGGCGCCGCGGCGTTTAATCGATCACTTACGGTAACTTCCGATCTCCGACAGGCATATCGGAAAGACTGAAAACACTCAAACTGGGTCAGAGTATAACACATTCAGTAAGAAACAAATTTGTGATTTTTCACAACTCGATAAAATTACTAAAAATGTGTAATCCTATTATACAAAATTTTTCTTTTCAATTTCAATTTTTTACGATGGAGCATTACCCCCCGTGCTCACTAGACATTGCTTCACAATCTTCGTGTTAAAATCAGTGAAACACGTACTCCATTTGCATGCGTACATTTTGAAGAACATTTGAAAACAATTTGGATTCCTACCTTTATACCTTCACTAAAAATTAAAGTTGGGTAGTTTGTTGTTTTCTAAAAGTAGTTTGAACAGCCGAACAAAATTGTTTACACGGAGTGGGAAGGGCAAACCTTCACTTTTCCCTTCTAAGGTGGAAAGTGTCAGCAAAACGTGAGAGCCGTCCTTGAGGGCAAAGTGTCTAACCTAATTTTCTCACCGATTGCAAATGCCATTTCATCCACGCATAACCTCACCTAGTTAACAGAATTAGCAAATGTAATGGGGAAACGTTACGAGAGAACTGAGTAAGAAGTTAGGGTAAGTTTTGAGAATTGGGCGCTCACCTGGAAAATCCTGGCTACGCTCCTCAAGACCCGAAAGGAAAAGCCATAGGATAGTTCCAGACTGAAACACCCATTAGCAAAAATAGATCATGAAGTTGTCGCGGCGGAGGATGAACTTGAGGTTTCTGATCAAGTGCAATTTTTCAAGGGAGCCCAGACAAGATTATGTACGATGGGCACAGCCTGTTGGAGGTCTTTCTAACAAGCCCATTACCACTACTTGTCTTCAGAGGCGTTTTGAGTTTACGAGCAGAGCAAATTAGGTTTTGACGGTTAGAAAATGAGGATGCCAGAGTGAAGATGCCTTTTGTATGATGACGTTATCAACCTACAGAAAAAAGCGTTCGTTTTTTACCACTGATATTACATCGATCAGCACACTTGTGTTGTCGAAAGGTCCGTGAGCATGGTGAAAGAACACCCTTATTGTTCGCGATATCGGATAAACACTCTGGTCGCTTACTGAATTTTCTTTGCTGTTTCCTTTATTTAGAATTAGGACTCTCTTGAGTTATCCATGCATGGACTAGCGATTTTAAGCTTTTTCAAGAAAACTGAAATCTGGAATTGTCCCTAGGGAGGGGCATTTGCGCACAGTTTTAAAGCCCCTCGGTGGGGTGACTGAGGTTTTCTTATCTCCTGTGCTCATCCCTCATTCTTCTCAACCTCTTCCAAACCAATTTTCCTGTTTATCACAAAACACTTTATGGAAAGACCAAGAATCTCCTCCAAACGAGATTCGCGATTGAAACAAAATAACCAAATAATTTTGGAACGAAACCGTTGTTAATGGTGTTCAAGATAGAATGAGTCTATTTATTACTTAGCTGACGCCCAATTTGCAAAACCGGAAGTAATGAGGTTTATTTCAAGGGCTCATGTCTCATGCCTCATGAGTTCTTCAAACGCTGTAAATACACGTAGCTGGAACTATCATCGCATCCTCGCGATCGCTCACTAATAATGACAACTTATGTCAATTCCATTATTCATTCCCTGGCTAAGATTTTCACGGATTCTTCAGTTCAGTTGTTTGAAACCAGGCGGTTTTATGTGAGTTGTAACGCCATGCAAGGAACGTGATGATCGACCCGCGATATGCGTGGGAAAATATTACTTTTTTTCGATCAAGGTGGAAATTGGCATCTTTGTCGTCGAGTAAGGTAATACAATTCAATTTTCATTATTATGGTTAATTTTAAAAGCTCTGGTTTCCATAAAGGAACTGGAGGAAAATCAGGAAAATTCTAGTTCGACTGTGATGGTTGCATTTTATTTACGCGTCGTAGCATAAATATAACAAATTCATTTTCCTTTTCCTTATACAATCTGCCTTTTTCTACTGTTTTTCGCAGCAGAGCTATCGCTTATATTACAGAGGCTAATTTTATTATATAGACCACTCAGATTTAGTGACAGAATTTCTATTATCGATTGTAATTTTGGCAACACCTGGCGAGTATTCGGTGTAAAGCTTATTAATAAAGTCGACAGAACACTCTTCCATTCATTACTTTTGTTTCCGCTCCATTAAATTAGCCCAATTTTTTTATTAACGAACTCGACTTAACTATAAACAATGAGTATTCCGGCGGAGTGGCAAGCTTGAATGCGATGTGGCAAGAGAGATATACGCCTTTGAATTTCTGTTAATTATACGGGTGTAAAAAATTCAAAAAGTATGCCCACCAAAAGTTTAATCGATCGTTGAGAAAACGTTATCAATTTCGAAGTAGTTTCTAAAAATACAATAAAGAGGGATAGTTCTTTCAATGTGTCTCGGCAAAGGAAGATTAGCTTTGAAGACAGGGTTGTAGTCGAAGGCTCAAAAACATCTTCTATTAACCAATATGACCCCGGTCCGAAGCACCCCAAAACCGGCCGTGTCGATGATTTCCGAAATAGAAGGAATTAGAAGCTAAAGTTACCTATTCCTTATTAAATAAAGTCTACATGCCAATTTTTAGCCAATTCGGTGAGATAGTGTGGCAGCGACTTTTCAATATAGTTCGAATCATGCAGACAACTGCTCTTAAAAATCTTTTATTAGAAACGATTTGCCAGACACAAATCTCTTTGGGGGAATAGGACTCAGTTCACAAAACAAGCAAGTTTTCCTATGCAAACGGCTAGCGTATCACTCGCAGAACGATGGGTGATTACAGCAATTTGCTGGCAATTAAATTCTGTGCTGACGTATTTGCTGCTAGTTGGAAAAATGACTAGAACGCGCGAGTGTGAATTGATCTAACCTTTTAATTTCTAAGGCTTACTTTCCGCCGAATTGTTTAAAATGAACTGTATGTAAAAAGTGAAGAGAAATAGCGAAGAATTAAGAGGCCCTGCGCCTGAGAAACGACCGATGATTTCCGGCTTAAAAATAAAATCGGCCGATTTTTATCTCCCAAGTAGAGGGTATCGAATACTATGCAAAAATGAGTTTCTTGCGAAAACATCCGTTTCTCCTGGCTCTTCGCCGCTGGGGACGTTTCGCGAGGAGGAACGTCTGCGACTCAGCGGCAGAAATTCCATACTGATGACGCAAATCAATGATTACATAATAATTCCGGTAGTCATGGGGTTCCAAATACAATTTTGTCCAATTTTACGTGTTTTCTGGTCGATTTTGGTAACGTCATGTGTCCATCTGTCAACCAGCTCCAGCAAAACTCAAACGCTTCTTCTAGAGAAGCGTATATTATTCCACAAATATTGACTGTTTTGTTCGAGATTCTTCGCGTTTACATTCGACCTTTGTGGCCTTTTGTCTTTTGTCTGTCATTCGTAAACAATAACTAAAACAATGTAACTACTCCGTCGACCAATAAGCGCTTCTGACCAGATTCCGGACAGATTTTACGTCATCAGTATGGAATTTCTGTCGCTGAGTCGCAGACGTTCCTCCGCGCGAGACGTCCCCAGCGGCGAAGAGCGAGGAGAAACGGATGTTTTCGCAGGCTAAAAAATATCGAGCCGCAAAGTTTTTCCGTCTGATAGCAGCAAAATCAGGCCTAAAATAAGCCCTCGCAAAAAACGGTTCAGAAATCACTATCGCAACGCAAAATAATAAGAAAACCACACAGTGATGAAGAAAAAGGCCTTTTAATGCAATATCATTCGATAAACATCGAAAAACTGCCGAAGGGAATACAAAGTAAATTTTCAAATATTGCATATTAAATTAGATGGAGCGTTGGAGCTGATTTTAAAATAATAATTTCTCAAAAGTCCAACGCTGCTGAAAGCAATCACAGTGATGAATCAGACATTGGAGGGATATACATCAAGTTTTCGGAAAAACATTTTTCGGTCAAAGTATACTGACGTTGTAAAAACCGTTCAAAGTTACCGTATTTACCGTTAAGTTGCCACTTCCGCGAAACACTTCTCTGTTGCCAATATGGCCAAGGATAGCGTGGTAAACGCCACTTTAAGCCTTCCTAGGAGCTCAAAACCATCCTAAATAGAAGTATATAGAATTAAAAGAGAAAGGAAAATGAAAGATTCGCAGAAAAAGAGAATAACTCGAAATTACCATCTGCTAAGGAGAGTTGAATCTTGGAAATGTTGTCGCGTGACAGCGTTCATTTGTCCGAACAGCAGCGGGATCCAAACAAATACGTGAAATATAAGTTTAAAAAAAACAATCTTTCTATCACCAGAAATCGTGAAGTGGAAAAGTCTTATGTTATTCCTATTAATGATGATGAATTCAGTCTCAGCTGGTCTGCAAGTACTGTACTTTGAATGTGGGCTGCTTGTATTTCGTTACATACATTCCAACGGACGTTACGGGTCAGCGCGTGTAGGGGTCAGCGGACCTGAAGAAAGGTGACGAAGTTGGAGAGCAACGCCATGCTAGTCATGCTAGGGGGGACATTGGTAGGTACCCAATACCGCAATACCGTAAGAAAAATTGGCAAATACCGAAATACCGTGTCAAAAATCGACGAAATACCGATACCGCATTTATTTTCGGTCATGCTTACTTAAAGTTGTATCCATCTCGCGTGTTTGTTTATTCCAAGCATTTATGCACCAGCAATCAACCTCATCCATTGCGAGGAAACGTTAGACGACCTCGAATTGATCGGTACAACGATCGAAAAAGATACCCTACCAATTTCATCATAGATTATCTGTCAGAAATTGTGTAATGGTAATCATTTACCATTAATCTAAAGTCTTAAAAATACTGACGTGCATTAAACTAGCCTGCGTAGCAGGCGCTTGGAAGTAGTGGGCGCGAGAGAGAACGGGCGCGCGCGAGGGAGACACGCGAGGGGTCATCCAAGCGCCTGCTACGCAGGCTAGCATTAAACAGGAGAGCGCAATGAACAGTACCGCAATACCGTGAAGGATCTTCTTTTACCGAATACCGTTAACCAAAAGGATGAAATACCGCATACCGCGAGGCTAAATGATACCGCAATACCCCACTTTAAAATCCAAATTACCGAAATACCGCTTGAAAAAAAAGCTCAATACCGTAAGCCCCCATTTCCCGCTCCATGCTGTTGAAGAGGTGATAGAATATTTGGGCTTAAAACATCCAATTATAATTGATGTTTACAGTCTTTGTCATAATTATCACAGCAACAAACTTTCATCTTTCAATGTTAGTGTTGAAAGACATGTGCAGGTATTTCGAAATACCTTACAAATCTACAGATCTAAAAAGAGACCTTTTAGCCAAGGTTTCAGTGTAAAGCCGTGAATGTGACTGAGTGCAGCAAAAAATAATTTCATACTGTAACTTTCCTGCGCAAGAGTTTGAGTGCGTGGTATGCTGTCCAATGTAATGTGACAAGTTGTGCGTAGTGCATTGGGTTATTATCTAAATATCATAAATATTATTGTGGAAACAAATTATGAAGCATATTATAAAATGAAGTTGCAAAATGAGTGAGGCACTTTCATCGATTTCAAAGTCCTACCGGTCTCCTATCTTTTTTTATGATGTCCTCCCCAATATTTGGGTGACCCTATTCGGCGGAATGGCGGAATACATGGAATCAGTTGTAAAATACGGAATCTACGTAATACTCTAAAACACGGAATTTACAGAATATTCTGTATTTGAACTGGACTGACGAAAAAGCAGAGGCAAAGAATACTCTGTTGTTTTGAAATATTAAAAATTCAATTTTCGTACTGCCGTAAGCCACACTATAGACCTTATGACGGTTTTGAAAGCCATCTTGACGGGTGAAGGGTCCGGTATCACGGGAATCTAATGTCGGATAATTTTCATAAAACGGCTGTTCTAAAAAAAAAAGAATTGTAAACTTAAGCTTGACAGGCTTGTACAACCAACTAATGGGGGCCGCACCTGTGCATAAATTTGTCCGGTCGCTTGCTGTAGATTTTCCAGACATTTGTCCGCAATTTTTCCTGGGAAATTTTATTCGGCAAGAAGGAAAAAAAATTACACACAACACTGTATATTTTCACGTGGTTGCTTACCCGTCAAGACGGCCTCCAAAACCGTGATTCGATTTAGCGCCCTCCTTCCAATAAGCGCTCCCTTCAAATGTGTTTTGTTAATAAGCGCCCCCATTCTAATATTATAGAAGAGTACGGGTACGTATCAACCGAGGTTCATCTCCATTTAATAGCTCACAAACGAACGGTATTTCCACATTATAAAAACAGTGGTCTTATATCCATGTGAGTGCATAAAGTCTTCAAAGGAATGATCTCTTCTTCAAATTTTGTGGCGATTGCTCGGCTGGTCGTTCTGGCGAGGAAGGATCCAGGGACAACAAGTCCGTTTTCCAGTCTCCTTGATCCATTACCTTAATCGACTTGCACTTTGTTCTCACTGCGAGCTTTTTTAAGAAAGGTGAATATAAGGAAGGAACTGTTCCATCGACAAAGTGCCCAACAAGTTTCAAGGTAAGTCCCTCGCGTTAACTGAGCATTCATCGTCAGTATTTGTTACTGCTACAGTTTCAAATATTGTTCGTTTTTAAATAAATATCAAAGTTCGTTTTTTTAACATTTGGTTGTTTCTCAAAAAAGAAATAAGCGCCGTGTCCCGAATAAGCGTCCTCCCTAGAGGCACCAAAAGTAAATAAGCGCCTGGGCGCTAAATCGAATCATTATGGTAAGTCAATTCTTTTACTTGTCACGCGCTTAAAACATGGTTCGAGTTAATGAGGGTAAAATTATATAGAAATAATCTGAAGAGAAACAAAAATTAGTATTACTTCGAGTTAGCAAGAGGTTCGAATCAGTAGCGAGGGTTCGAATTATTGGAGTCGACTGTATACATGTATACCCTTTTTAAACGATTTACCTCTTATTCTGCGTTTTAGAGTATTCCGTATATTCCATATTTTAGAATATTCCGTGTATTCCATCTTTCCGGTAATATTAAATGTCGAAAGAATTGTAAATCTTGTATTTAACTAGATATAACTGGCTGCTAGTATACAATCACCGTTCGTTCATTGCTCCTGTCGTTTTTTAGGTAGTCGAACTGTACTTTCCTTTAACTTTTGTTGTTGTTAGCTTGTGTTATAGTAGAAAAATGATATCAAGGCAGAAGATTGTTCCATTACGGTAGTAAAATGGTATGAAGGTAGAAAATGCCACATCACGGCAGTAAAAAGTTATCAAGGTAGAAAATGTTCCATCACGATAGTAAAATGCAGTGGCGGATCCAGGGGAGGGGCCCGGGGGGCCCTGCCCCACCTTATTTTTAGACCAGAAGGTAGAACAGAAAGGTTGTAGAAGGTAAAAAGTTTTCGAAAAGACGGCGACATGATGTTTTAGTTTTAATATTTTGACTGGGCGCGCTCGAATTAAAATACTGAAATATCTATTTGTCTGTTGCCTTAATATTTTCCTCGGCAATTTTCCCCGATTTTCAGTACTTAAATCTTTCAAAATCTTGGAGAAATATATCGCAAACTTTTTCAAAGGATATATAAATTATCTTAGAACAAACCAAACGAGTTCTCAAGTGCGTTTAATGTAGCTGATTTAGTCCCGTGCGTACACTTGCATTTTGCGAAATTACTAGAGAAACAAACTTCTAAAATATATATATTTTTTAAACATCCAGGTAAATATTATCTGCCACTTTGGAAAAACGAACAGACACTTCTACAACTGCATGCTCAACTGACGTATATTTGTATAAACAAAACGAAAAACAATATTACAAGCACACTTTGTAGTTTTCCTTAGTTGTGTTGTTGTTTTACTGCAGGTCTAAAAACCTGGCTCGCTAAATTTATTAATCGAACTTAACATACAGCAAACAGCGAAACGAGCGAGGACACCAGTTTTCCTGGTTTGTTTTTACAAAAAGCGAAGGCAAACAAGTCTGTTACCTTTAATTGACACTAGCGCCACCAGCTTTTATGATAATGCATACAAGAATTCCTTGAACAGCGATTCGATGTTTTCGTTTTTAAAATATAATACTTCACAGTTGGCGACTGAGGTTTCTTTCGCAATGAGCCTCCGCTTGTGTACCCCGTTCAGAAAAGTCATTTCCGGCTAAACTTTTAAATGAAACCACTTTAAGATGGACAGTATTTTGATCTGCACTAGTTTGTTGGTAAATCAAAAAGCACCTTGTTAGCGGTCAACAACTTTCAACAGAGGGATTCAACTCCGCGATACACTCACATTAGTTCCGTAAATAAAGCTAATCCAGAGAAGACATGAACAGCCTATGAATTTTCTGAATTTTCGTGGTACGTATTTTAAAAGGCATATTTTCCTACCATAAGACCATAAAACAATAAAAAAAGGCAGCAAAATCGACCTCTCTCAGATCATTCACGAAAACAACCACGTAAGGAATAATCGCTTTCAACTTCCAGCGTTTCCGACAGCCAATCAGATCTTGTGGCATTGTTCTAACAGCCAATAAGCGTTACGGCCAAAATCTGGCCTTAACGAGCGCAAACGTGAGAGAGTTTGTATCACGCCCAATTTTAGCGGTAGCCGTTACAGAGAATGTATGAGAACCGCTCAAATTGGGCCTGATCTCAGGTTACTTTCATATGATTTGACTGTTGTTTTAAGTATTTGTTGTAATCAGTTATCCCGGGTGTATTTACTTGCGTTTAAGTGTTCCTGTTGTAATAAAGACTGTCAGATCCCAAAGCGTGTGTGCGTGGTGGTTTATCATGCCGGTAAGAAAAAAAATCAAGGTAGAAAATGTCACATAACGGCAGTAAAATGATATCAAGGTAGAAAAAGTTACATCACGGCAGTAAAATGATATCAAAGTAGAAAATGTTCTCATGATATCAAGGTTGAAAAAGTCACGTCACGGTAGTAAAATGATATCAAGGTGAAAAATAACAAAGGTTGGTTGATTATATCACAGGAACATTTCATAGCATATGTTACACCACTTTTAACATTACGTTAACAGATAATTTTGAAATAAACGGCGCGCATTCTGTGACCAACCAACTAAGGAGATGCCTTTGAAGTTTGCCAATCTGTCCGTAATGCCCCAATAAGGAGTGGCATGAAATGGTGAGTGGAGCGGGAAAAAACACGCGATGGAGAAAGAGATAGGAGAGATTATGTTTGAAATTAGATATTATATCAGCTTTTAAAGCTGGTCAACCGCGTGATAAAAAACAACTGTATTGCAGAGCAAAGGGTGCGTCGTTTATTCTTTTACACTTTTTCCTTCAGGTGTTTTTCTACAAAGTAAACTATGTTACGGGATGCGTTAGTCTTGGTGAAGAGTACTCTGACCACATCTGGGTTACGACAGAGGAGATGAGGGATTTGGTCGACCAGAAATACTACAATATTCTTAAAAGATTTCTTTCTTGATTACTCTTCTTTTCCATGTACATACATGCTTTTTAACAAAAGGAGAAAACAAATTGATAATGACAAATCTCTCTGTGTATTGGTAGTTTTCATTGCATCACCTTGACGTTTGACTGGTATACAATGAAACCTCTATTAAGCGGACCCCCAATTAAGCGGACACTAAGCCGGGTCGCGAAATTAACGTCTTAGATTTCCCTTTATAACGAACCCGTATTCAGCGGATAACTCTATTAAGCGAACGCGGGCAATAAAATAAATTGTATTTGGCTAATTTCTATTGTTTAGAACCTCTATTAAACGGACACCGGACTGAATTGACAATTAGCCTGATTTACCAACAGAACGGGAACGTCGGTTGACGACGGCGCGCTCAAGTCAAATAACTGGCTTGACCAATGGCAGTGCGGCAAATTGGGCACCGGAAGTCGAGTTTAGTCCTTTCCGCGCGCTTTCCCGTCGTCAAGTGACATTCTACCCTGGATGCCAGAGACTTTTCTAGCGCGGTTTCCGGTTTCTGTCAAGTCTTTATAGTGACCCGCGCGAACTGCTCGTGGCTTCGGCCTACGGCCGAAGACGTGTCGGCCTTCGGCCAACACCGAAAATTCCAGCCGCAGGCGAGAAAAACCTCTGGTACCCAGGGTAGTGACATTCCCGTTCTGTTGCTAAATCAGCCCAATAGTAGTATTGGATTACGTCCTTGAAATACGTACTGTAGTCGATTAATAAACATAAATGAATACATTTAGCTGTCAGTAAACTGTAGGTTAGACCGATATCCGGCCGTAGGATTGTCATCCGCGATCAAAGTTCGCCTAAATGTCTTGCACAAAATACAGAACTTAGCCACAGTACAGAGTAACCGTTGAGTGTTAATCGTTAGCAAACATTGGCATGCGCAACTTTTACAAAACTCTATTAAGCGGACACCTAGGAAGGTCCCCAAGGTGTCCGGTTAATACAGGTTTCACTGTACTGTAAAATGCTTAAAATGTCGTTAATTCTTTTATTATCCACGTCATGTACCTTTTTTCTTTTATTGGGATCATTGTCACTTCCAATGTTCTTTCACCGTTATAATTACCCGTTATCTGTGAAACGGCAATATCTAACTGGCAAGAAAGAAATGCCAAGGTACCAACGAAAGAAGGCAGAATAAAATATAAAGGTCATTAAAGAACTTGCATACTGAAGACAATTTGTTGACAGACGACTCTTAGCTTGTACGGTAGGGGTAATTAATGCGAGTGCTCGGGCCTGTGGTGTGGGAGGAAATGCGAGCTCCTTAGAAACGCCTGCGTGAGAGGCTCGTTTGGGGCGCGAGTGTAGCCTGCGTAGCGTGGCGGTTTTGTCGGGAGCACGACTGAGCGGCGAAGCCGCGAGGAAAAAAGACCAAGCTGCTCCCGCCCCAATCTCCTCGCGGTTTCTCTGCCCTCGCCCGCCTTTATTATTTAACGCGCCCAACCAAAACCTCCATGCTACGTAGGCTAGCGCGAGTGCTAAGGGCGAGATACACAAAGGAACGATTGGTAAACCTGATATAATGGTTTTCTCCTTTTCCTTTCTCTTTCTCTCTTTAATTGTTGAAACTCCGTATTAAACTAAAGTGTCTTTCAATTCTGTCTTGTATGTCCCCCAGTAACCCCCGTTGTGAAGGCTTAGAGCCATCGTCAGTCTCGCTGGGTTTTGGGGAGCTCTTCAAGCAGAAATACAGTCGAAGCAGCCCTTGCGACCATTCTCGTAAGGGACTACCTATAGTTACGACCACCTTTGTAAAACCCTGTTTGAACTCTGACAAGCTTTGAATTCACTCACCTTAAACAAGAAAATTCTTGGATTTATCTTGCAGGACTCTCTACTTAGCAAAGTAAACTCTAAATCTCTGTATAAAAGAAGACTAGAATTTCTTACTTATGTTGTACAAGAGCTTGTTTTTTTACCTGCTATTCAGGCTATTTCAGAAATATGTCCACTCTCCGGCTGCAGTCTATATCCTATAGTTCACGCAGTAATTATGTTTTGTCTCTACCGTCTCCGAAAAGTACTACTTATGGTCTTCACTCCCTTTCGTACATGGCTTCAAAACTATGGAACTCTCTTCCGGATTCTTTTAGTACTTCTGACTTTTCTGATTTCAAGCGCCAGACTCTACAGTATGACTTTTTAATAGTTTAAATTTTAGAAAGCTGTAATTTAATATTTTAGTGGTACTTAAAATCATTTCTTTGTCTCGTAAGCCACCACTCAGAGTCTAATTCAACACTTTTTAAATGAAACTGCACACTGCGCTAACGATTTTTTGATAAAGATCTTGTACAGTGCACCATTGTATTTCTAAAAGTTCAGAAACACTCATTAAACATTAAATTGTTTTGTTTTTTCTTTATGAGGTAGTAATGAATTTTTGAGGCTCTCGTAAGCTCTCTACTGTTTTGCCATGTGGTCGCTTACAAGAGCTCATTAGGGACCTTAAGCAAGGTCGACGAGAAGCCCTGAGGACGACGACCGGAAGTGAAAATACCGTTTAGCGCGCTACTGCGCATGCTTCACTAGTCGTCCACGTGAAGTTCAGAACGTGAAAACGCCATCTGTGCCGTCCAGGCCGAACGTCGCGAGAACGTGAGTGTAAATTTATGTATTTTCATCTTGTTTAGGAAGACAATTTATGTTTGGCTTTTGAAATGAAAGTTAGATATTCCTTAGTTTCTAATCTTTGCACAATGTTGAATCTTACTATGATTTTGAAACATGAAAACTTTGCAAACAGTCAAAAATTCGGGCTTTGTGGGATTTGCATCTTGTCAGCAAAACGTTCAAGTTAAGAAGATGAAATCGAGAACTAACAAAATGATTACTTGTTTTGTCTTATTTACCTATATGCAATCTTTTACAATTGTTTTAACTTGAGCAGTAAATTTTCATGCCGTTGAGGTCATTTTAGAGTCTAATTTTCCGAAAAATTAACTTATATTTTGATGTGAATTTCCTTAGAATAGAGTGGACAGGACTTCATGAATTGAATCTTTGCGAAGAAGTTTTAGTTGTTGAACCTTGGAAACATCCTTACCGTAGTAAGGAAAGAGGAGATTCATGGAACGAAATAGCAAACAATTTAAATGCCTCTGATCATCCTACGTTTAAGAAGCAGTCTCAGTAAAAACCGCCCACTCAATTTCGCGTGAAAAATAATTTTGCCTGAAACTCTGGTGGATGAAAGCCTTTATTGGGACTATAACTAAAATGGGTTTGCTTTGATTCAAAGTTATTTTCTGGCCGCGCTAAGAAGCACGAATTTTTTTTGCCCGCCATGGCCATATTGCGGGGCCCAAAAATTGAAAATTTGGCAGTTTTTGGAGCGCTGTAAAATTTTTTATTCGAAAAATCTCGAAATAAATTTAACACCTATTTACTGATAAATGTCTTCAGTTTTTCTACATATTAAGTATTTCTCCGTAAACGTACCCAGAAAGATGAAATCAACCAAAATGTTACCCCTATAAAATGCCATCGAACAGGCAGCCATAAATGGCCTTAGTTTAGAAGCATATTTCTACTTTTTGGGACAGAGTTGATTATTCTAGACTATAGAGCCGAAAATATTGTTCCTTAATTGACAAGAATTTACAAGAACCCTTCTACGATTTCAGTATTTCAAAAGTTATGACCGTTTGAATTAACGAACATGTCAACGTTGAGCAATTTGTCGTCCATTAATACTCTGTGAAATAATGAATCCATCTCAAGAAAATTTTGTGAAAAGGACGGCTTACCTACAAACTGAGCCATATTCTGATCCGAAGGAATCTTGATTTCATCAGAATCCGGCTAATACTGCCTTGAAAATAGCTGTCGTTCGCCTAAAGTAGAATTCCTTGCAGATTCCAAAACGGCTCGAATACTGAAACAGGCGCAAATCCGTGGTCACGTCTAACGTTTCTCGGTAATTAGCCGGTAAAACATCCGTTGATAGCTAGTTTGCTTGAGGATCAGAGAAGAAACAATCGACGTTCGTTTTTGGAAACGTAAATAAGGATTCGACTGCTTCAAATTCAGATAACAGTTCCTTGGAACTCGCTCTATAATAAAAAGGTCAGGTAGTGTTTTGACCGAAATAGGATTCCTGGAACTAGGAAAACAAGGCATGGAATTCACCACCCAGAATAGTGCATTTGTCAAGGGAATTTAATTACGCGAAAGGCGTGCTTACAAAAATATTGTTTTAACAACTGATACTGTAAATAAACCCATAACGTATAAAAGAACGACGTTTTTAAGTGTTACAAGGAATGATAAGTTAAAGAAGTTGGTTGTTAGCAGTTATTCAAAATACAGTAAATCACGTGTTCACTTGGGTGCTGTTTTTCACTAATTTGTAACGACTATCGCCTGCTAAACTTCCTCAACTCACAAAACATTATACTTTATAATTTTGCCGTTGACTATTGCAGAAAACTTTGAAAATGGCTAGCCTGAGAAAACAGCCGACATTTTGCGACGCCACCACTGGTTTCACATTTCACACGGTAACCAGTGGCGGCGTCGCGATATGTAAATCGTGTGGTTTTATGCTAACTAGTGTTGTTAAGCAAAATTTACAGTAGAAAAGGGATGTTACTAAAACGAAGAACGGGGAACGGGGAACGGAAGTCTGGGAACGAGTTGTCAGCGGAAACCTCCATAACAATCCAAAATGGCCGGTAAGGATCAAGAACCCGGTAAGATCGATAGAGAGAAGCGTCGAAACAACACTTAAGGTCGCTATTTTACTAATGAACTATATGCTCATGAGGTGCTTGAAATAATACGGAGGTAATAATGTCATGACACTTTTCACCTTTTTGCGTTTTACTAAACAACAAAATATGCTCCAACAGCAGTTGAAAGAAGCTACAGTCGGGACAAAAACTCTCAAAGCACAGCCATATTTGGAACTCAAGCGAATCTATACTGGGTCTAACTCACAAAGCAATGAACTACTTTTGCTTGACGCTTTTCGTAGGGTTTGGCTTAAATACATCCTGAAAGATAACGTAGATCGAAGCAGCCAGGTGTATTTCCTCGACAGTAATAGCTGCAATATTAAGTCTTGCAAGTATACGGGGGGGAAGTACTTTAAAGTCTTTGGTTGGAAGGTACTTTCTAAAGGCTGGCTGTTAAAATATGCATGGTAAGTATACTTCCTCTGTTTAGCCCTCTGGATGCTTTTTTTTTCTAGGGGGACTCCTTTAATGTTTTTGCAGAGGGGAGCTCTGCTTCTCTTTAATGAACATTAGTTTTACTGTGGAGAAAAATATTTCAAGCTCAGTGTAAAACTGAATGTATCAGTGACTTAAACCAGTTAATATTGTCAAGCTGCTTTATTAGCTTGATTCAGTAATATTGCAGTGCACCTACCATCAAGCATCACATCATCAATGTTGCAGAGGTTGGCAGCTTATTAGAAGGTGGTTGATAAGCCTTCAAGCAAGCTGTCTGTAGTTTTGGAAATAAAGAGTCTAAGGTCTCACACAAGTGATGGGAGGCAAAAGATTGGAGTGCCGATATGTTTTTCAGTAAACACGCGCAACTGTATGTGTATAGTGGCCACTGTAGCGGCTGGGTTCCCTGTTTCGTTTGTTTTCCCGCCTTTAGAGGTCATGTGACTTTGTTTTTAGTTGCCTTTTGATACGTTTCAGCGAGTGTTTGCAGCTTGGGCATTCACTCGAAGTAACGACCAAAATTGATCGGTTTCGACGCATTGACGACGGTATTGTTTGGAACATTGTCTTCGTGTATTGTCACGATTCAAGATTGTAGCCGTCCTTGCAGTATTGGAAATAAAGGTCCGTAAACAAGAGTGAATTTCGTCGCTACAGCCACATTACGCTTACTCAATGCATGTAAAATAACACAATAGATCTTGCTACCCATCTTCCCTGATTATATTTCCCCTCCAGGGGACATAATTTCTTTTAACATATCGGGGTTTTCAAAAAAGGGGCAAGAAGCTTTTAAATGAATTTTAATTCATTTAATGAAGCACAGTATCAAAGAAATTAAAGAGAAGAATCAGACTAGAGTAACAGTAACCTAGAGGGGAGGGGGAGGTACTCACCAAAGAGGCTCTGCCCCAGGGACCAACCCTTTACCCTTTGTATGTACCATTTTAGACAGAAAAGGTACCCCTTTTGTATACCCTCTAGTGACAAATGGTACCCCTTTCACATACCTAAGTTTGAACGCTGCATCCCTTTTTAACTGCTGTAAATGCACCATCTTTACAATATGAATGAATAGCTAAAACAGGTTTTCTTGTCTCTCACATCCATAAAATCTATCTGTGACTGATCTCATTTTGGTCCCTTTCATATACTTCAACTATAAAAACCACTTCCCTTTCATGTACCTGAAGCCTGAAAAAGGTTTCAGGCTCTGTTTAGGCCATTATAGTACCCCCTCCTCCTGCACCGAGAACAGTACCTGATACAGCGATATTGTATTGTATGAATTGCACCAAACGTTTCGTGCCCATGAAGAGGTACTTTGATTATTTTACGACATTTTTCATTTTTCATCTCATTCTTAGGGGGGCGGGGGGTTAATTGAGGATTTGCAGTGAGTGAGAATGTTGCATTCAATGCAGTCCAATGGTTTTGATTCAGGAAAGGGTCGTCAGGGGTATTTCGCAGAGAGACAAATGGCCACTGTACGACTTTGAAGCAGTTACTGATTAGGGTGAGGAAAATGAGTGAATTAGGTTACATTAGGGTCATTATACTGGTCTATACTGGGCAAACTGACCTGAAACAAATTGTTTCACAAAATAATAAAATGATATTATTTTATTTTCATGGAACAGTGAAACACTTCAATATCGTGAGTGCTTGCAGTGTAGTAGATCTAATAATATTAAAAGCAGAACCAGATTGTTAAAGTAGTCTTACTAATTATCATTTATGTGATGACGTGGTCAATAACATTTTTCAAAAATTTCATCGAAAAGTAGTTTATTGCTTTGTGGGCTAGACTCAGTGTAGATTCGCTTGAGTTCCAAATATGGCTGTACATGTGCTTTGAGACTTTTTGCCCCGATTGGCTTCTTTCAACTGCTGTTGGAGCATATTTGTTTCCTACGGATAATTGTTTAGTAAAACGCAAAAAGGTGAAAAACGTCATGAAGTTATTACCTTCGTATTATTTCAAGCACCTCATGAGCATATAGTTCAAGTAAAATAACGCCGTTATCGGTTAAGTTTGTTTCGACGGTTCTCTATCATCGATCATCGGCCATATTGAATTTTTATGGCGGTTTCCGCTGACAACTCGTTCCCAGACTTCCGTTCCCCGCTCCCCGCTCCCCGCTCCCCGTTCCCCGTGTTAGTAACATCCGTAGAAAAGAGAGGATGTTTCTATCAAGACAATGTCAACCTCAGCCTCACGTTCACTCAAAGGCTTGGACGCGAGGCCCTCAACTGTGAATGGCCTATTGTAACTACTTCTACAACTGAAGATATATAAATTGTTACGAACTTCTACAACTGAAGATGGAATAAGTTTCCAAAACATGTCTTGTAAATTGAAAATTGTTGAGTCATTTCTTCAGATAATAATTTATATAATTTTTCATATAACATTAATGTTTATTTCACTTTTTTCCCATTTCAAAAAAGTAAAGAGCAGGGAAATAGGCTATGACAACTTGCCGTATAAACTTGTTTGAACGGACGGGCAGGGTTGGACGGCGGCCGGAAATAACGTCACCATGTGTAAAAATACTGCTTTTGCTAAGTTCCCTGTAATTTGACTTACGTAACCCTCCTTACGACAGCACAACACAACAGGTAGGAATTTAAGAAAACCCTTTACATTGCTTTAGTCAGACACACACTCGCATTCACTTATCATGACTGTCAGTTTGTCTAAGAGGAATTTCTTTTTGTCCCTCGATTTCACAGGAATCTCAAAATGGTTGCAGATACTCCTAAGCATGGCTACATTGAATTCTTGGAGCGTGTTGCTATGATAACGCTCACACAGGTCATAACTAAGATAAAATGTGCGACGTTAATTTCTTCATTTACTGTGTTAATCAGATCCTCTCTTTCTGAATATTCCTGCAAGCACTGTATGTCTTCTTCCTTTTCCGTTGACAAGCCGACAACACCCTGCTCTTTACAACGTGCTGCTGCCATCCTCGCAAAAAAGCTCTGAACTTGGTTCTTTGAAAGCCAGTCAGATCTAGTAAACAGGCGTTCATTAGACTCATTTTTTGCATTTCGCATGTCTGCTGCAACCTGGCCGGGGTCAGTCTTACACCCTGTTCTTTCTCCTATTGTGAAACGTGCTGTTAGGTATTCTTTGACCTTTGGCGAAAATCTAACGCTACTTCTCGGTTTGCTAAGGCCCAACCTGTTTGCAGAGATGATTTGCTTGAATTGACTTCTGAAAACGTTGGCGGTCCCCCAGAGGGCACTGAATACATTTCGGTGTCAGCAGGGTTATCTACAGATGAGAATTTCAGTGCCCAGTCCCTTCTGATGACATCATACTGGTTTAACCTATTGGCAGTATGTTTACCGACATCAAGATGCAGCTCTAACTACGCAAAGGATTCAAAGGCCTCGTTGCAACCGAGCTTTGAACATTGAAACAGTGGTGTACTACTCTCAGTACTCTTGCTAGCTTCTGAACTGGGTTTTACCTCTCGTTGTCCAAGTGGTACATAGAATTCGTGGGATTCCAATGTTTGGAGAGCGGATGGAACCTGATTGGTGACACAAAGCATTTCATATGGAATGTACTTTCCATCGCCTATACCATAGCATTTCCACACTCTAAGACCATCAGCTTCATATTCAAAGTTATCAAAGCTGCTGAACTGCTCCATCTTCTTTACAGAAAGAGTCTTTCTCGAGTCGTTGACTACACAAACCGCGGCACCTTTTACCGGGCGTTGTATTAAGGCATCTGTCATGTCTGCAGCAGTTTTAACTGCTAAAATAGTGAAAACAGATCATCTGGTCTTGAAACTGGGCAGCAAAAAATAAATGCCAAAGCAGGTGATGAATTACACAACTTGATATTAAACTGAAGTAGAGAACCGATAATATTATTTTAAAAATGATGTCAATGCTATCATCTGAGTTGTGATGCCATTTTCTTACCAAGTCACAAAAAGGTTAATACCGAGGTCACCGAGATGGAACTATATTCAATACAGATATTTGTTCGCGGGGGGAAAATTGAACAAAACAGAAAACGAACGTGAGAAAAAATGTTTTGTTCCTTCGCTATTGCTTGCAGCAAATGAATGCCACGGGATAATGGCTAACTTTCGCTGGATAATCTCTCTGACGGTCCAGTATAATGTCCGCCATCTTGTTTTGTCTCTTTGGTAGTACCCAGACCCTTGCATCACAGCTACAGTCTCAGACAAAAATAGTTGGGACACTTTAACCAAACGCTGTTTTTTCCCTTCTCGTGCTCCCCTCGTCCCTTTCAAAGTTGTTTATCGCGGTTCGGTCACCAAATCTTGTACACCAACATTGAGGGGACAAGGAGACCCCAAAGTGTCCCAGCCATTTTGACTGAGACTGTAGATCGCTCGACCCCGCTTCAACGCCCTAGCTTATTACGCCTTGACCTTTAGAAAAGAGGCGGCTCGCTCCTCTTGTACCAAGTGATAGTATTGGCTGAGAAAACAATGAAACAAACACAACAAACAGTGAACCCTAACCCTACAACAACAGCTGTGCAAGCTATGGAGAGCCAGTAAAACAAAAGGTTACTGAGAGGTGCGTGGCTACTGATAGAAAACGGAGGAAACCTATCAATGCCAGAAAATTTGGTTATGACGTCAGCGTACGCCCGACCGACCGACGGCTCGTACACTCTCTGGGGGTAGGGTAAAAACGAGTAGCGCACACGTGCAGCCAAAGTTGGGTATTCCAGTAACTAGAGGATTTAAAATTGCTTCTATTAATTTGGCCAGCTTGTATAAAAATATTGACCAGCTTAGGATCTCTATGCTGTTCAAGACAGTTGATATACTAGCTATTAATGACACTCGTCTTGACAGCTCTATTCAAAATAGGTCAGTATCCCTGGATATACCCTTGAAAGGAAAGATAGAAATAGAAAAGGGGGTGGTTTGGCCCTCTATATTAGGGACTCAATAAGTTATAAGCGACTCATTGACCTCCCGAATGATAACATAGAACTGATCAGTATCCAAGTGTCGAAACCGAAACCAAAACCATTTATTGTGTGCACTTGGTATAGGCCTCCAAGGTCCACCACTGAACTGATGAATAGATTTGAAAATGTATTGCAAAAATTGGACTCATATCATATGGAGGTTGACATTATCTATGACCTAAATTGTAATGTTGGTGCAACATCACTAGACTGCAGCACACAAAAACTAATAGATATCTGTGATAGTTACCAGTATAGCCAATTAATTGATCAGCCAACACGTATAACACAGCTCACATCATCTATTATTGATTTGTTTTTAACTAATCATCCGCGGAATTTTTCGTACTCCGGAGTCGCCAATATCGGAATCAGTGATCACTGTCTGGTGTATGCAATAAGGAAGATTTGTATCCCCAAATCAAATCCAAAGACTGTTAAACGAGCAGATGGTTTAAAAATTTTATTCCAGATAGTTTTCGAACTGATTTATCTATGGTCCCGTGGCATCTGATTGAACAGGAGCATAACCCTGACATTGCTTGGGATATATGGCAACATAATTATGTTCTTAGACATTGCTGATAACCATGCACCACTAAAGAAGAAGAGAGTGAAAGGAATCTCTTCCCCCTGGATTACTCCGGAGCTAATAAGGCTAATGTTTGAAAGAGACAAACTCAAAAAATTAGCTTCAAGGTTCCCAACAGATGGCAATTGGACTTCTTACAAACACTTGAAGAATAAGGTTAATTATGAAATTAAGAATGCTAAAATGAACTATTAAAATGCCTTCTTCAAAGATAATCGCAGAAACATAAAGAATACTTGGAAAGGAATTAATAGACTAATTGGAGATGAACCTAAATTCAATAAGATAACTCAGCTGGACACTAATGATACTGTTAGTACTGACCCCATCGAAATCAGTAATATACTCAACACACATTTCTCCAAAATAGGACCTTCCTTAGCCCCTGAAATTAAAGATACATCCAGTAATTTTACTGATTATATTACCCCCGCAGAACACATTTTTAAGTCGGCGAAAGTATCATGCCAGGAGGTTTTCAATTTAATTCAGAAAACACCGAGTAATAGAGCCAGTGGTCTTGATAACATCTAAGCACGTCTCCTGAAAGAAGCGTCTCTCATGGTTACTCGCAGTTTAACTTTTATAATAAATCTTTCAATTACCACTGGAATATTTCCAAATGCTTGGAAACGTGCTAGAGTTTCGCCAGTATTTAAAGAGGTTTAAAGTTCTGCCTGTAGTAAGTAAATTGGTTGAAAGAGTTGCTTTTAACCAATTACATGAATATTTATTTAATAATAAGTTGTTAACTGAATCACAATCCGGCTTCAGACCTATGTTTTCCACTGAAACAGCTTTACTTGAGGCTGTGAATGAATGGCTATGGAATATTGACAACAATCTCTTAAATGGTGTCATATTCCTGGACTTGGAAAAAGCTTTTGATACCATGGATCATGCTATCCTACTGGGAAAGCTTAAACTCTATAGGGTCAGTTCTGAATCTCTCTCAAACTGTTTCCGGTCCTATCTATCTGACCGAAAGCAACAAACGTTTATTGATGGAGTTCAATCTGATTTCTGCAATGTATCATGTCTTATTCCACAGGGGTCTATTTTAGGCCCTCTCTTATTTACTATTTATATTAATGATCTCCCTTCATGTAATTTGCTTTCAAAACCCAGAATGCATACAGATGATACTACCCTTACCACATCTGTAGAAGACCCATGTGTCCTTGAACATAAAATGGATTATGATATGAATTTAATTCAGTCATGGCTGTCAGCAAACAAATTAACTTTAAATGTTAAGAAGACTAAATACATGCTTATAGGGAGCTAATTTAAGTTATCCCAAATAAATAGTGAATTCACAGTCAAAGTCAATAAGACACCCTTAGAAAGAATAATTAAACATAAATCCCTTGGAGTTCAAATTGATGAATCTTTGAACTGGCGCCCACAAATTAATACCATTTCAAAGAAAATATCCGCTGGTATTGCTATCTTAAAGCGTGTAAGTCATTTTACACCATTTGATACTAGAGTGAATATGTACAATGCACTGGTAGTGCATTATTTTAATTACTGTAGTGCTGTATGGGGTAATATCAATAGCGGACTAGCAGACAAACTTCCAGAATAGGGCTGCTAGAATTCTCACCTTTTCTAACTATGACGTTCGCTCAAGTGTTTTGTTGGATGAGCTTGGCTGGGAAAGGCTAGAATATGTAAGACTTAAACAGTTGGCTGCGACAATGTATAAAATCCATAATGATCTTTCCCCGTCGCATCTGAGGCGGATCTTTACCAACACCTCAAATGTACATTCACACAATCTTAGAAATTCTGAGTTAAATTATTATGTCCCCAGACCCAGAACTGAGTCTGCAAAAAGGAGCCTACACTAGAGAGGATCAGTGTTCTGTGGAACAAGATTCCCACAGAGATTAGAAAACTGCCTAGACTGACTTCAATTCATGGGAAAGATTATTTTAATACAACATGACCGATTGTAACTCTTATTATTAATAATGTAAGTTTTTGTATTTTTAACATTATAGTCAAATAGTTCCTTAGAGTATTTTAGTCTAGTTTTAAACACGATTCCTGGGAAGACCATGTAAAATGATACGATTTCGTGTATAAATAAAGATTGATGATGATGATGATGAACTCACTAGGGTAGGGAATGGAGTCCTAGACATGTACGTTGCGTTTCGTTTTTGGCACAAACCAATTGCGTTAAGCATTGTAGTGGCAACCAACGAAGTTGGTCGAGTTCTTGCGTTTGACTTCGAATAAATTTCTTAAGCTTTGCTTTTTGCTTGGTCACGCTCAGGGAACAACCTAGTCTTCGTCGAATCGTACTAATATCTCGGACTAATATTGAACCCATCTGAAAGTTTCGCTAGACAGCAGCTGAAAAAAATGCACTCACAGCTCTGTATGACTTAAGAAAAGAGATGGGAGAGTCAGACCACTTTAGACAAAATATTAAATTAACGCTAAAGTTATTTGACACACTTATATCCCCCATACTTCTCTATAGTAGCGAAATCAAGGCATTGACTGTAACGAAAAAATGGATAAGGATCCCGCAGAACAAATTTTTAAGATGGCTACTGGGTGTTAATAAATACTGTATATAACTACTTTTCTAAAATTGACGCCAAGTGTAGGAATTTTAAGTTCTGGTTAGCTCTGATCAAAAACGAAAATAAATCATCGCAAATAACATACTATGATATAAAATGGAATGAAAATAAAGCTTTCTGGAGCAAAAAAAATCATCAACACATCAGATCAAATAAGACTAGGAGAATTTTGGATAAAGGCACATTATGTGGACTTCACAGGAATTATAGGCACAAGGCTTAAGGGTATAGAACCGCAACAGTGGATGAGTGAAATGAATAACGACGTCAGAAGAGATGCTGACCAAAATGACAAAATGGAAACATACCGAAAGTTCAAAACAATAGAAAATTTCAAATGTAAGGATTACCTTCGCCAAGCCCCCAATACCCGCTAAAAACTGCGATTAAGCAACCACAAACTCTCCATAGAAACGGGCTGATACTCCAATTTGTAAACTAGAAATGGTGAATGAATATCACTTTTTAACTGTATGCCCCACTTTCCAGAAAAAAAGAAACGTTCTATTCGACAACTTGTGACCAAACTTGAATACAAACGTAGTAGTATACTAGGGTCAAGAGAAGCTCCGTTAGTGTTTT